CGCCGTCCGTCCCGTCGGCCTCCACTCCCGCCGTCCGCCCGACCCCCCCCCCCCCCCCCCCCCCTTTTTTTCCGCCCTGGGTTTTCGCCCCGATTTCCTTGCCGGCCGGCCGCGCGCCAGCGGGCCAAACGGCGAGGCAGGGCCTACCCGCCACCACCCGACCAGCCTTTGCCTGCCACTCACACTAGCCTGTCACTTGGCCCGGCCAGCAGGCAGGCCCCATCGACGCACGGCTGCAAGCTCAAGCGCCACGATGGTCCACGCAGCAGATAGAGAGAGAGTCGATGCGGAGACGAAGCGAGCCAAAAGCCAGCCAGCCGGCCGAACGGTGTCAGCCAGCCGGTCAGGACGCAACTCGGGCCTCGTCGTCCCTGGTGCAGGCCTGATGGGAGTGGCGAGACGCAGGGGGCCCAACGAAGTCGATCTGCGCTCCCCAGCCTCCGCCGTCGTCGTCGTCGGGGCCGCTGGCGATAGGCAGGACCAGACGGCGGCGCTCGCCTCGCTTTTCCTCGTCCCACACCGCAGCCTCTCTTGCACCGAGGACTGGAACTGGGCTGCTAGTACGGCAAAATCGACTGCTGCACGACAGACGACGTCGACGACGACGGCGACGAAGTGCAGCCAGCCAGACTACTACTCTACTCTGTCTGTCCTTGTGTGGCGATGAAGAGGGCCCACCTTGTGTGGCACGGTGGCCGGCAGGTGTTGGTCTGTCTGGTTGGGGCGCCCCGACAGGCGGTTGACCCTTTTTGGCAGGCAAAAAGCCACGGAAGACGGACGCCTGCTGGCATGGCCTGGCCTGCTGGCCTCCACGTCGACCCCCATGCGTGCTGCTTGCGTTTGGCGCGGGCGTAACCTCTGGCAAAGGCAAGGCCATGGCATGGCAAGGCTGCCTGCCAGTTTGGGCGTCTAAAGACGCGCAGTCGACCCGAACGAGCTTCAGAGGCAGGCGAGCTGTTGGTTGCACGCCAGCTGCAACCCACCAGGATAGTCCTACATGCTGCCTCTTCCTTGCCCCACCGCCACCGCCACCGTCACCGTCACTTCCAACCTCATCTGGCCCGTCCAATAGCACCCCCGGGCGACGCCCCCTTCGCCGCCCAGCCCTGGCATCCGTGGCTTCACGGCTCCGACTCTGTCCGTGACCCTGCTGATTCGCACCTCTGGCGCGCCGGTCGCGCAGCTTCACCCTTGTCTCGCAGCCTGACCCGCCATGGCCAACACTCCCCCGGCGTCGCCACTCGGCCATGTCGCTCACCACCATCACCACCACGAACAGCAACAACAACACGACACGGGCGCCGCCATCCGACCCATCGCAAAGGCCGACGTACACCGCATCACCAGCGGACAAGTCGTCCTCGACCTCCAGACCGCCGTAAAGGAGCTCGTCGAAAACGCACTCGACGCCGGCGCAACAAACATCGAAGTCCGCTTCCGCGACTACGGCGCAGACGCAATCGAGGTCATCGACAATGGCTCCGGCATCGACCCGTCCAACTACGACGGCATCGCCCTCAAGCACCACACGTCGAAGCTCGCCAGCTTCAGTGACCTCGCCATGGTCCAGACTTTTGGCTTCCGCGGAGAGGCCCTCTCGTCGCTCTGCGCCCTCAGCCAGGTCGTCATACACACCGCCACCTCTGACGACGCTCCCGTAGGCACCATCATCGAGCTCGACCACGCCGGCTGCGTCAGCTCGAGGGAAAAGAAGGCGGCTCGCCAGCGCGGCACCACCGTCACCGTCACCGGCCTCTTCAAGAGCCTGCCCGTACGCCGCAAGGAGTTTGAAAAGAACCTCAAGCGCGAATTCGCAAAGGCCCAGAGCCTGCTCCAGGCCTACGCCCTCATCAGCAGGGGCGTACGCTGGACCTCGAGCAACCAGCCAAAGGCAGGCAGGAGGACGCCGCAGTTTTCCGTCAACTCCTCGGCCTCGGACAGCTTCCTCGTCTCCAACGTCTCGTCCCTCTTTGGCGCTCGAGTCGGACCCACCCTGATGCCGCTCGACCTGACCCTCTCCTTTGCGCCGATCCGGTCCCGGCGCGATGGCGCAGGCGCGTCACTCCCGGTCGCTTTAGCCGAGAACCAGAATGGAGACGAAGATCGTCCGGAGACGGATGCGAGTCAAGCGGGAGCTGAAGGCGCAGACGACGTCGACGACGCCGAGACGACGGTCAAGGTGGTCGGCGTCATTTCCAAACCGACGCACGGCAACGGCCGCACCTCGTCCGATCGCCAGTTCTTCTACATCAACGGCCGTCCCTGGGAGGCTGGCCGCATCTCGCGTGCCTTTAACGAGGTATACAGGTCCTACAATGCCAGCCAGCTGCCCTTCGTCATTGCCGACTTCCGCCTGCCCACCGACTCGTACGACGTCAACGTCAGCCCGGACAAGCGCACCATCTTCCTCCACGAAGAGGCTCGCCTCATTGAAAAGGTCCGGGACAGACTCGACGAGCTCTTTGCTCCGACCCGGGGCGTGTTCAAGGTGGGCGACGCCAGCCAATCATCCAGGGCATTGGCAACGCAGACCAAGCTGGCAGTCTTCGCGCCGTCGGCAAGCACCCATCGACAGCCATCGCCGCGGTCCACGATATGCGACGGGCTGACACCCGAGGCGGACGGGTCTGATGCGACCAGCTCGCTGCTAGCGTCAGAGCAGCGTGCCGAAGAATCTCAGACGGAGATCGAGCGCCGGCCGCCGTCCCCAATGGGCGCCGCTGACGATTCCGGGCTCGTCGATCAGGACCTACATGACGAACACGACGAAGAAGGAGAGACGTCGTGCGATGGCGTTCAGGTGCACGATCAGGATGACAGCGAGACTGACGTGGCGGGGCCATCAGGCCGCCAGCAATGTCGTCGCGACCCGCTTCCGTCGTCACCCAGACGCGACGACGGGCCAGCGTACCCAAAACGTCTTCACGAACCCACCATGGATACGACGCGCGCATCGTGGTCACCCGTCAAGCGGTTGCGCCTCTCGCCGCCACCGGAACCCTCATCCCCGAGCCTTGATGACCTGCTCGGCAGCTCTTCGCAATCATCCCCGAGCGCCGGAAAGCACAAGCGTGCCAGAGTGGACCTCATCAGGTCGCTCACCAGCTACGCGCTCCCGGGCAGCCAGATTGCCGAGATGCTTCGGACACGGCAAGAGGATGCGGCAGAGCTAGACGACCTGGATCTCCAGAGGCTTGAATACGCAGAAGAGGCAGGCGGCGACGAGGACCGCGGGGAAGACGAGCTTTCTTCAATGATCGGAGACGACGTCGAAAGACAGATGTCACAAGGCCTCGAGCCCACAGGTGCGGTCGCGGAGGCGGACCGCGATGACCAACTCGTCGACGACGGCACGGCGGGACTCGCGGCGTCGGATACGGAAGAGCGGATCCGCAACCTTGCCGCGTTAGATGCGACACAAGGCAGCTCCGAGGACGAGCATGCCCTTGAAGACGAAAGACTAGTGGCGAGCGCCGCCAGCGACGCCGACGAAGATCGCGAGCCTACGATTGCCTTCGACCTTGGCAAGATCCGCAAGCGCATCGAACGCAGGTCCACGCTCTTGGGTGGCGAGCCCGATCACAGACCAGTGGAAAATGCTCCACGGGACGTTGATCTTTCGGACGAAGCGGTCGGCCTGCTTGATGCTGGCGTGGACAACGTCGATGCCGTGTCGGCCGAGGCATCGCTGAACCGCGTCATCCACAAGTCCGACTTCGCCTCGATGGAGGTCATTGGCCAGTTTAACCTCGGCTTCATCATCGCCAGACGCCGCCTGCCACAGCCAATGGGCGATGCAGCCGTCTCGGAATCGACGCCGACGGCCGCCGGGATGGACGACCTGTTCATCGTTGACCAGCACGCTTCGGACGAAAAGTTCAACTTCGAGACGCTACAGCTTGAGACGCGGGTGCAATCGCAGCGGCTCATCCTGCCACGGCCGCTCGAGCTAAGCGCGTCCGACGAGCTAGTGGCGAGCGAGCACATCGAAACCCTCAAACGGAACGGCTTTGAGATCGAGGTTGAAGAGAATGGGCTGCCCGGGAGGAGGGTCCGACTGGTCGCGCAGCCGGTCAGCAAAGGGACAGTATTTGGCGTCAAAGGTGAGTCGCGGAAGCTGTACCCGAGGGACTCCGCCGGGCCATCTGACTCCCGCCTAGTGTCGAATCACAGGGCTGACACGTAAACCTCGGTGTGCCCGCGCTGACAGACCTCGAGGAGCTCCTCTACCTGCTCCGGGACATCACGCCCGGCTCGTCCGCCACGTTGTCGGTGCGCTGTACCAAGGCGCGGGCGATGTTTGCGTCGCGCGCGTGCCGCAAGAGCGTCATGATCGGCACGGCGCTGCAGAAGCGGCAGATGAAGCGCATCCTCGAGCACATGGGCGAGATTGAGCAGCCATGGAATTGCCCGCACGGTAGACCGACGATGCGGCATCTGGCCTGCCTCCAAGCCATCGACTCGGCACCGTCGCCGGCGAGCGCGCGGCACGCTAGCAAGAGGGTCGACTGGGGCAAGGTGTTCGAGTAGCCGCTGTCCCCGAACATGCGCACGTCGACGTTGTTTGCGGCTTCATCCTCGGCATCCTAGTACGTGCTGAATGCGCCGCCTAGCCTCGACCCCTCGCCACAGCCCATCCACTGGCCCGTCTGCAGGATTAGTCGACCATCGCCGCCGCCGCCGCCGCTGCTCCGTCGTCTTCCAGGGTCATGAGACCGTCGCCCCTTCTTCCCCACCCATCCACCTGCACCCCAATCATCCTGGCCTTGGTCCTGACCTGCTCCCTCTGCCTCCATATCGCCGCCAGATCGGCCATGTATCTCTTCCTCCTCTGCTCGACGTTGACATCTTCAACCATGACCATCTCTTCATCTTCGTCTTCAACGTGATCGCCGAAGGTTGCGGCTGCTGCGGGTCGGGACGCGACGATCTCGTAGCCGTCTTCCTCTACCTCGTCATGGTCGCTGTCGATGCCTGCCGCTCTCCTACTGCCAGGCAGGGGAGGCAGGCGGGAGAGATGCACCGCGATCTTGTCCTGCTGCTCGTCGAGCGCCTGGAGTTGGTTGTAGATCTCGGTGCGGAGGTGCGAAGCGGGCAGCTGCGGATCGAGGACAATGTCTTTGGCCGCCCAGGCGGTGGAGGGCGGTGGGCGAAGCGTGGAACTTGAGGGCGAAGTAGCGGCGGTATCGGGCGAATGTGTCGCCGGCGTCGTCGGGGAAGATGGCCGGGGTGAGGACGAGGACGAGGAGCTGGTGGCCGCGGCGCTCTTGCTTTCGCTGGGCGAAGGTGAAGGTGATGGTGAGGGTGAGGACCAGAGAGCGAACCGCGGCATCGTCTCGGTCGACGGTGGCCAATACGGCGAGGATGAGAGATGGAGAGATTAGCACTGAGCGAGGCCGGGATGGTGGCGGAGAGGGAGAGCTCCTACTCGAGCTTCACGGCTTATCGGAGCCCAGGGGCCGACCGGGTTGGCATGGGCGGTTGTCGTGCTGGCAACAAACAGTTGACGACGCACGTACCATGCCGCGCCGCCAGGAACCCGTCGTCAGGTCAGCCCCGCGGATAACAACAAGCTAAGGCTACAGCTTTGGGTCGTCGGCCGTCGCCGGGGTGGTCACAGCCGTAATCTCGACGATGAGAAAGATATCATATCAGGAGGAGCGACTTGTCGCTATTGGCCTCGGCTGGGTGGTGTCTGGCCCAGAGAGGGAGATCGAGAGAGCTGTGGCCACCAGCGTAGTCAGGGTCCAACCAAGCAACACCTTCTGCCTCTCAGCAGCGTGAAAGCCCGAGGCAAGACCACCATCGGGGGCTTCACCCGTCCATCATCGGGGTTGTCGCTGCTCGCGGGTCGCCGCCTGACCTGCCGCAGCCTTGATATGTCGCTCTTGACTCTCTGTGGCCCTGTCGTTGCCGCCATCTCATTGCGAGCCAGCTCTGCAGGCACAGTAGTCTACGCCTCGTCGTTCACCTCCCCTGCCCCAACCCCTGCAAAAGCCGGCATGGGGATTCGGGATGACATGCCTGATGTCGGGAGAGGATCCTCGCCAACGTCGGCAAAGGGGGCCGGCTGGCAGGTGCACCAAAAGTGGCGCTTTTCCTGGGCCGAACCTTGCACCGCCTGCCAGGGCAGAGAGCAGCAGCATTACGGGGCCGTTCGGATAGGCCCTCGGGACGGAAGAGGCTGCTGTGCCTGCCTTGGGCGGGCCAGGCGGGAAAAGCTCCGCAGTCGTTGCTCCTCTCCAACAAAAGAATCCTCGAATGCGGCGAGAGCTGAGCACGAAACGCACGCGGCCTCTCCTTGCTTTCCTTTCAGCACCGACCGCACCCATGGTGCCGTGTTGACCCCACCTCGAACGGCTTCGCATTTGCCACGGCCCTCGATCTCTAGGCCTGTGCACGCCCCCAACCTTCTGAGATGCACCGAAGGAAACGCCACATCATGCCACATGCTGGCCTCGTCAGCTGCCAGGGGTCAATGGCACCCGGGAAGGGAAAAGGGCGGGGAAATGCGCTACAGGTAGCTCACGGGGCAGTAGCGTTCCTCGGCCAAGGAGCATCGTCCATCCTATCCAAGCCACGCACTTGTCTTTGGCTCAACCGACAGAGGGCCGATGGTTAGATAGAGCATAGGAGAAGGGAGGCGAGCTAGATACGTATCCCTTCGGCCCGACGGGTGGGCGTGCTGATGATCCCCCTCTTCGTCGGCACGGTCCCTGGCTCTCTTCTCTTCACTAGAGAGGGGAGTCAAGAGTGGGTTCAGTTAAGCGTCGTTGTATGAGCAAGGATCCCTTCCACCACCACCGTCATCACGGCAATTGCAGCTCAGCTTACAGCATGTACATACAAGTAGGTACATCCAGTCGCTCTTGCGTCAATGGTCAGCCCGACCGGCGACGGCATGGCATGCTGCGCATTCGTGCTTACGCACGCGCGCTCGCGCGACTCCCCCTTGTGCAGGCGTGACCGCTCGACTTTGAGGTCGGTCGGTTGCGGCTCTGTCCACCGTGGCGACCGCCGGGGCCCGTAGCAGCGACGCTCTTGCACGAACGCATGTATGTATGCACCGGTACGTCCACCTTGCATCGCAGATCAGTCTGCACGAGGCCTAGGCTCGAATGGTCAACGGCTGCGGGATTCCAGCAGAGAGTCGAGGTACTCTGTATCCCACGTTGGTCGCCACCAGCGAATCGACCGGAAGGCATTCGGCGACCAAGTGCAGTAGTCCCCATTTTAGCTCGAACAGAAGCAGACGATCGCATCGCCTACAGTACCAGGCGGTCCTCGAGTCTGCCCAGATGACGATCGATGTCCTCTTTGCCGCTTGCAGGCGCCTCTCCGACCAACTACAGGCTTAACGATTGCTTGGATAGGGGCTGCATCCTGCTCGGAAGAGGACGTTGCGGTGGGCCCGCTTGCCATCCTCCTGGACCAGGCGAAGAAAAAAGGTTTTCGCTGTGCGTGCTGCCCGTTACGCCCAGCCACAGCTCGACACCTGATCTGACACGGGTAGCGCGCAGGAGTGTGGCGCTGTTGAGCGCAGGCTGGCGTTACACGACTTGCCTCCTCCATCCACCAGATGAGAGGTACGGGCGTCGAGTCGACACCTGAGGGGTCTCCGCCTCTTTTTCGGAGCTCATTGAGATCATGTCGGTGAAGGTTTCTCACAAAAGGCCAGACGCCGCTCAGACGACAGCTCGGGCCGCATCCTGTTGGCGCAGGAGGGTGCGGTACTCGTTCATCATGACCGCCGTCTGTTGTTGTAAGTACTCAATCTTCCGGACTCGACCGTGGTCCTGACGAAAGAAGGGAAAGAAAGGCCCGGCTGCTCACGCCCGCCCCGGGTACCCTAGGTGGCCCGTAACAAACCATCATGTCTCGCGTGGAGGATGGCAGACCGATCTGTCCTCCGTCGCTGGACGTCTACACCGCCTGTGGGCCGATCGAGTGCTTGCCTCGTGCTCTAAAGGATCCGCGGCGTCGCTTGGGGGGAATGGCCACCATCTTGCTACAGTAGGCCTGGTCTGGCCTGGTCTGCCTGGCCTGGCGGCTGTGATGAACTTGCCGCTGCCGGCTTCCGCGGTCCACCTCGTCTAGGCGAAAGGAAGGTCGTCGGTTGCCGCCATCTCCGTCCCCGGTCGCAAATCCACAAGCAAATCTACGCACGGCCAAGGCAGCTGCGACATACACGAGGTGCGGCGGGTAGGCAGCCTCGTCGCCGTGCGAATTTGATTGGGTGGATTGCAGACGACTCCTTCCCGCTCCTCTGGCAGACGTCCACGCCAGTCGACCGCTCGCTTGTTCGGCTGGCAAGAGCCGCGATGAATTGCAAGAGTGGGCGGAGCGGGTGGATAAGGCAGCTTGCCTACGAGAAATTGTGATGGCGAGGAGGCAGGTCCGGACAAGTTTGACGTCGGCCCTTTGGTCACTCCACGTCACCAAAGGGGAGTCCCTCTGACTACGGGCACGCTGGCTGGCGCAGTGTTAGGTAGCGGCTGTGACCGTGCATTGGTCGAGCACCCTTGCGCACCAGCATGCTCTAGGCCAGACGACTCGACCTTGTTGTGCGCGATATCTGCCGCCGCTACGTGTGCTTGGAACAAGCGGCGGCGGCGGCGGCGGCGGCGACAAGGACGCGCGCTCAGAGGCGGGTCGAGGGACCGCAAGGGAAAAGGCACACGTACAGAAGCCGAAGTCGTGGCAGATGCGGTTCATGCGTGAGTCTTCTGGGCCCGACCGTCGAGAAGGCCCAGCTGTGCGTGCTGGCTGGCTGTCCAAGCCTCCCCCCCTGGTCGTTTGCTCGTCCCCTGCTGCTGGTCCTCACAGCCGAGGACGGCCTGGCCCCAGGCGACAGCAGCGCAGCAGGTAGGTAGTTAGGCGAGAACCAAGGCGCGCGCGGCATAGGGGCAAAGGATCCTCGACCGTTCAGCAGCCGATCAAACGCGCGCCTGCCTGTTGTTGGTCCCGGCCAGGCACCTTGTGTTGCTTTGATCTTCTCTTGTTCTCTTCCCTCTGCCGTCGACCCGAACTCAATGAAGCGTGCTTGCTGCAACACCGGCGTAAACGCAGCCCTGTCTGGGACGCCCCGTTGCTACACAGCGACACGACGGGCAAAGAACCGGATCGTCCCCTGCGATGCTCGACGTCGGCCAATGCAGACCGAAGGAAGCCTCGGGGTGGCGGTGGCGGCGCTGTGGCTTCATCTCTCCCCATCTTGGCAACCGGCGTCCGCCCCCGGTCGGTGACGAGGCAGCCCATACTCTTCTGTATGTCCGGCAGGTACCGTACCCACCTCGTCTCCACCTGGACCCAAGAGACTCTGGGTGTGCGGCGCACGTAAGAGCATGACCAGAGCAGAGTGGCGCTCCGGGTCACGGTGGCAGCACCGTGGGCAGCAGCAGCAGCAGCAGCAGCGGCACCGTCTGGCCTCGCTCTTGACCGCCTCCCCCCATCTGCGAAGGTGATCATTTCATGACGAGCCCCTGGCGGTCAACCGGCTGCCTGCAAGCTGTATGGACCCATGCCGCAGTTGCGCAGCATGTGGGTAGGTACATACAGGCACGCACAGGTAAGAGGAGCACGTACTCTCGTGCTGTTGCTCGCTGAGTCCAGACGTCGACACCGTCGGCCTCTCGCTCTGTGTCGATCCCAGCCCCCGTCGCCCTTGGGGACAACCGCCTTCGTTTCTACCTCTCGTGGCCCGGACGCCTCCCGACCATTCGTATTGTTTCCTCCCTCGCTCCCTTTCTCGCTCGGCCATTGCTCCGCTCGCCTTGCCCTCCCCTCCATCCTCCGTCTTCCACCATCCCCTCGGGCTCTTGTCCCGCCATCCGAATCCATCATCCTCATCTTCGCCACTCGACCTCGTAGCCCCTCTTCTGCACCGCCGTGTCAGCCGGCTCCGACCCATCGCTCCGATACACAAGGGCTGCCACATTGCCCCGTCCCCGGCCCGGGCTCACAACCGCCTTGTATTCCGCCTTCTGTTCGGTCTATGGTGACAGCCGCGCAACTTGGATCGCCACATCAGCAGTCACAGCTGGCTCGAACGTGTCCCTCAGGGGCTATTGCGGACACAGGATCTGGCCAACAAACGACCTCATTTCCCAGCACTTCGCCAATCCACCGTTCATCCCCTCCAAAGACCCCCACTGTGCAGCCGGGCTGCCTCTCACCATCGGGTCCATTGTCTTCCTAGCCTCAACCACCCTGCCTTGACTCTGCATCGACCTCGAGTGCGACAGGCTCGGCGCAGTCTGCGGCATCCACGCATGTCATACCAGCATCGATTCTGACCCTCTGCGGATCGCCCGGCCCAGCTTGGCAATTCTATGCCATCGTGCCATCACTCCGCCACCCAGCATCCTCGACGCTTGCTGACGACACCATCATAAGGATACGTTGGGCGTCCGCTGGATTTCTTCCTTTCCTAGACCGCACCAGCATCCTCAAGAGGAGACCCAGTCCGACTCGCCAGCGTCACCGTCGCCGAGACCGCAGCCACAATGTCTGCAGGGGATTCCATACCGACTCCGGCTGTTGCCTCTGCCAGCGTTGAGATCCGGCAACGCATCATGGCCTTGCGGAAGGCCAAGATGGAGGCGCTCCAGGCCGAACCGTCGAGCACAGGGCCTCCATCGCTGCAGGTGCCGGAAGCCGGCGAGGATCGCTTCTCCTGGGTCGGAGTGGACGATGGCGAAGAGGTCGTCGGCTGCTCGACGAATGACAGGGCGAGTGATGGTGACGACGACAACGACAGCACGGTCCTCGGCCACCTTTCAGCCTTTCCACCAGCCCCGAGCCTCCGCCCCCCTCCCCTTCCACCAAAAGCCTTGCCTTCTTGTCCCGGATCCGTAAGGGACTCGACGGCCTCCCACCAGACGATCAGCTCGATTGCATCGACTTCTTTTGGGAGCGCCTCGCAGGACGAAGAGGAAGACTCGCAGAGCGCGCACACGCTCACCACCGTCGACGAGAGCTCCGATCACGCATCGAGAAAAGGTTCGCGCCGGGAGAGCCAGGCGAAGAGACGCTCCGCCACCCGCCAGGCTCGGCCGAGCACCTCGTCCTCCGTGCGATCTACCGCCTCGGCCACGGCCAAGCCACTAGGGCCGCCGCCAGACCTGCCGCTCCCACCCAAGCCACAGAATTCGCCGGCTGCCAGCCTCAAGAGTCCTGCCCTCGGCTGGTCAAGTCGCCCCCAAGCGAGCGCGAGGTCGATGGGAAAGCGCAGCTCCAAGTCGTCGTTCCGCAGCACCGATCGCTCGACGCGGTCATCGAGCCGACTGTCTGGCGACGAACTGAGCGAGCTGTCCGCCGACGAGATCTCGAGCATCCGCAGGATCTCGTCCTACTTTCCAACTCCGGCGAGCCCTCTGCCAGCAAATGCGAGCCAACCCGGCACTCCTGGCGCCCATGCGGTGCGGCACTCTGCCAAGACAGAGCGTCAAGGCCGGACAGGTTCAGGTTCGAGGTCGGAAGACAGACGCACCTCGCCCTTCTGGTCGCCGCGCTCTTCGACCTCTTTGCGCAGCCCGAGCGCTTCAGCCACGGCCGATGCGTTCCCCACGAGCCAGCACGAGGCTCGCTCGGTCAAGGGCGGCCCGAGGATCATGGTGCAGGAAGAAGACGAGGAGGAGGACCAAGAGAGGCTTCCGGATTCGCTTGGTGGCAGCAGGGACGACGGCAACCACGGCGACGCCGACAACGATGGCGAGGACGATGTCAGCGACAGCGACCTGTCCGAAGTGCTCCACATTACTGCCCGAGAGGGCATTCTTGCCGTGGCGCAGCGGGCCAGTCCAGTCTCTGCGGGACAGATCGCTCGCATCGGGTTGGGTCTGGGGTCGTCCAGCCGCAGCCCTTCGCGCTCGCTCAGCGGCTCGTCCTCGCCCGTCGCGGTCGCCACGCCCGCGGCCGCTGCCACTGCCGAGGCTTTGGACTCGCAATTCCGGGCATCGTCAGAAGCAGAGAACGCCCAGGAGAGGAGGCGCAACAGCCAGATGCACAAGAACCTCAACGGCCTCGTGCAAGCTCTGGACCAAGAGGCTGCGAGGTGGTCGCTCGATTCCCCAGATGCTTCGCCGCGAGACTCTATCCCGTCTGCACAGCCTTCAGCTCCGTCGTCGGAGCGCGTTCCTCGGACAACAATCGCATTGCAGGAGGCCCTCTCTCGACCCGCCTCCGCAGAACCTGCTGCAACAGCAATCGCGCCGTTGCAGTCCTCGGCCTCGTTGCCCAACGTCTTGTTGCAGGCGCCAGTGCAGCTGGCACCTTCGACGGGGGCACCGGTTGGCGGAAGCGATGTTGCCGTGTCGCAGCCTGCTCGGCCGAGCGGCATGACGGCCTCGATCAGCGCCCCGACGGTGCGGATCCAGGATACAGAGGGGATGGACGGGTCAGCGTCCGACGTCGACTTTACCACCGACGACGACTACGACGACGACGGCGTCCCCCGCAAGCGCACCAAGCAGGCGCGACATCGGCGACGAGGTTTCGGCTTCGAGGACCAGCGGGCTACCCTCAGTCGAGGCAACAGCTCCCGCTCGCTGCAACCTGGTCAGGTCTTTCGCCCCAACGCAGCATGGCCCGCGCCATCCTCCTCGGCCAAGGACAAGGCATCTACGGATCCCTACGCCTTCTACGAGTTCTCGCCCAGCTTGCCTCCCTTTGTGCCGGCAGGTCTGCAGCCAAGGGACCTTACGGGCACCGGCACCTGGTCGAGCATCGTGGCCCGGGCCAACAGCACCCTGTCGCGGCACACCTCGGTCCGGACCATGGCCTCTACCTCCACCACCGCCAGCCTCGGGCCCGTGTCGCTCAAGGAAGTGGCGGCGGGCGCGCGAGCAAAGATGGAACAGGCCGAGGCGGCCCGAAAGGCCAGAGAGTCGCAATCGGAGCTGTTTGCGAAGCTGAGCTACCGTCCCTTTGAGATCCACCACCACGCCGAGACCGAGGCCAAGGCCATGGAACACGAGAGCACCGTGATGGGGGAGTCGTCTGGTCGCAGCACGGCGATGAGCAGGTTCAGCAACTCTTCGACCATGGGAGAGCTCGCCACCCGATGGCCCGTGGCCATTGGCGAGGGCGATCAGGATCTCGTCGGCGGTGACGTCGGTTCCGACGTGGCCACCGCGCGCTCCTCTCTGCTGGGTCTGGGAATCAAGTCGCTCGCTGGCAGCTCGTCGGGGGCAGTCACGCCTCCAGCCAAGGTCTACGCCGAGGTCTGCATGCAGACGTCGCCGGCATCTACGCCGCCGCCGTCCCCCAAGACGCAGGCCCTCTTGACGCTCACGGGAGCCAGCACTCTGGATCCCGAGCAGACTCCGAGGGCAGAGAAGGTGAGTGAAACGAGATCGCATAGAGACGCTCACCTGAACCGAACGGCTGACGGAAGGCCTTCCGCGATGCCCTCTGCACATCGACAGCCGCGTCGACGAGTGCCGGCTCGAAGGAGAACGATGGCGGCCATGTCGCAGGCCTACGGCATCGACCTCGACATGCCCGGATTCAAGCCCACCCGCATGCGCGCTCCTCGCCTGTCTGGCCGGAAGAGCGATGTGGGCGTCCAGAGGCTTCGCTCGAGCGTGTCGTCCAACCGCGCTGCCACCGTCATCTCTGACGCGACCGACAAGGAGATCCTGGCGACGAGCAGCAGCAGCGGAGAAGAGTCCGACCTCGACATCGGTGCGCAGCTCGAGGAGCTGGCGGACCGGACCGGCGTGCTCGATGACATCCGCGGCGCCAAGCGGAAGCTGAGGCGATCCAAGGCGCCCGCCGCGCCTTCGTCGAGCGACTCCTCCTCCCTAAGCGAAAGAGCCATAGCCACGATCCCTGTGCGTGCGCGCAGTCCAGTTGGCGGCAAGTCTGCCGCTCGAGTTCACTCGGCGCGCCGCCGAGTGGACAGCGGCACGGGATGGACCAGCTCCGAGGACGAGAGCGATGACGAGGTCCCATCTTCCTCGCAGAACAGCCAGTTTCTCACGCCTCAGCCGCCCAGAGGGTCTGGCAACTTCCAGCTTCGGCCGCTGCTGCTGCCTCGATCGGTGCCCGCAAAGACCGACAAGCGGCGAATCGCGCCGCTGCGAGGAGGACCGAGGAGCTCAGGTCGATCGATATCTGGCTTTGGGCGTGCTCCAAATGCAGGCTCAACTCGGGCTGACAGTCCGGACCTGAGCTTTCAGAGCTTGGCAGGTGATGACGAGGACGAGGACAACTCGCTGCTTTCGGCGAAGCTCGACGAAGGCGGCAACACCTCGATTCACCTGCTCGACGACGACGATGATAGTGTCTCCAAGCAGGCGCCGACGATGGCAGCCGGCAACGCGGTCAGCGCTGATTCCCACCTGCTTGCGGTTGCGCCTCCGAAGGCGCCGACCCCGACCGATGACAACGTCTCGGCAGAGTCCAACGAAGCCGTCGAGATCCTTAAGGAGGCCGAGGAGGTCCTCTCGTCGGTCGGCCACAGCCAGCCCGCCGCCAGCTCCTCTGGCCATGGCTCGATCAGCGACTCGTGCGGCACGAGCGGACACGACCCGCAGCGTCGGCCGAACGAGGTGCTGGCCGAGATTGTGCGGCAGAGGCTGGCGTTGAGGCTCGAGACGGCCCTGTCCGGCTCTCCGTCCACGTTGATGCCCGTCCCGGCTCCCTCGATCCGCCCCTACAATTTGGGCGAGGGAGAGATCACGACGGGCATCGACGATCCGAGCGAAACCGCAGCGATCGAGTCATCGCCGCTGGTGCAAGACACGCCCGATACCATGGCCGGTTCCGATGCCTGGTCGACGTTCCGGACAAACGACCGCGACAGCTCCGTGTCGACCGCGACTTCGTGGTCCGGCGGCAGCTTTGTCGAGAAGCCAGAGGCACCGCAGGAGCAGGCAGAGGCCATCGTGGAGGCCGCTGCTGACCCTCGGGCGCCTACGGGGAGCGAGACAGCAAGTGCCGACGTTGCTGCCAAGATTCACGACGCTGTCGCTTCGCCTTTGGCCCAGCCCTCTCCTGCCAAGCCAGCGCAACCAGCCGCGCGGCCTTCGAGCTTACCTCGCACGCTGCATCGCAAGGCCAGCGCCCTGCCGATGCCCAGCAGCAACCGGAGGTCGGCATCGGAGACAGTCGGATCGCAGCCACTGCGGCCTCGATCCAACGAGGTCGGTACGCCGGTCTCGGCGGCGTCGCTCAAGGATCTCTACGCCACCAAGAAGGCGCAGCGACCATCCCTTCCGCCCCCGGTGGCCTATGCCCGCCATGCGCAGGCGGTCGCATCCCCCAAGCTCGGCGGCGGCGGCGGCGGCGGCGGCGGCGGTGGCAGCAACAGCAGCGGCAGCAACTCTGCCTCGCCCGCAGACGGAGCCTCGAGGCTGAGGAAGATGAAGAGCTTCGGCGACCGAAGCTCGAACTCTTTCGTGCCGCCGCCAACTTCGACTCTGCCACGGTCGATTGCGCCGCGCCGACCCAAGGTGCCGGCCTCGTTGGACTCGTCGATCAGCAGGAACGCCGCTGGACTGTCGATTCCATCGCCAGCGCCGTCGACGCCGAGCAAGCTGGCGCCCGCCGCTGCCGCTGCCGCCGCCACCGCCACCGCCACTCCTCTTCGCCCGAGTGGCATCCCGGCGCCCCGACCTTCGCTCAAGCACCATGCCAGCCTGAGCAACATGTCTCGATTGCCGACTCCTTCGACGCCCGGAAGGTCTTTGGCGTCTCCTCGAGTGTCTGGCCTTCCGCTGCCCAGCACCCCGAGCGGCATCCGCCAGAAGCGGCAGTGATTGCAGGTGGCCTGCTGATGTCAAGATGGGCGCCAATTGTCGACTCGGCCTGGATCTTTGCTCTCTGCCCTACCTCGCTTGCCCCGCCTCGACGGTGTGGGCGGAGGTGCCGTCATTGCTTGCACACCTACCTCGACTCCCCCGCTTCACTGCTGCCATACCCTCGTTCGCCATGCTCGTCCAGCTTGCTCGCTCGCTCGACTCGGGGATCTGGCGTCAGCGCTGGACTATACCTCCCCGACCGACCACTCTACCTGCAACCTTGCACTTTCGCTTTCCTCTCTGTGTCCGTCCACCTGTTGCTCGATTAGCCTGTATAGACCGGTGCGGTGCTCCTTCTTTCGTTGCCGTATGCGCCTGCTCGATCTTCCAAAGTCACCTGCCCAACCGCCCTTCCATACCCCGCCGGTGTCGCATTGCCATATTACGTCTTCAGCCGCTTGTCGCTTGGAGTCTGCCCCCCTGATGACTGCATGCTGGCCGCACATTCGAGGATCGTGGTCGAGATTGAGGAGGAAGGCGCGGCAGAGGTGCGAGGGGTGAGAGTGCAGGCAGAGGTGAGGCGGGTTAGCGTTGGATGGCACTTGGGAGCGGCGTGCCTGGCGTAGCTGCGCACCCGCCAGCGCGCACGTACGAACCCTTTCCTTGGCTGGCCTCCTCTGCCTGCGCGCCTTTGGCTACCTTTGCCTGGCCGCCAACACGCACGGGGCGGCGGCATTTTCCGACGCAGCTCTGCTGCCCCCCCGCTTCCTTTGGTTGCTTCTTCGACACACCACCGCTCTCCCCACCTCTCCCTCCATCGTCCCTTTCTTGGCCTCGGAGCTCCATCTTGCGCCTCTCCCTCAACAGGCCGCTCACTTGCTCTGCCCCGACGATCCGCAAGCCAGGCGCGATAGAGAGCATGGCAGCCTAGCATCGCCCACCAAAGCCGCTTGCCCATCCTCGCTCACCCGACCCCTCCTCGTCCTGTCCGCTCGGCCTGGGCCGGCACCGCTACCGCCCACCCCCACGTACCAGACCACCTCAGCCTGCCTGCAGCAGTGACACTCGCTCGTTATCCTCGCCCTCGCCGCAGCCTTACCCGGCAATGTACGCTACCGCAGCAGGCTCCGCGGGCCCGTCGTACAGCGGCGCACCTAGTCCCATCTCGCCCTCGGCCGCCGCGGCCGATTCCAGTCATCGCGATGGCCCGCTCTCGTCCTCGGCTGCCACCACAACCTCTTCTCGCCCCGCCGCCTCCGTCTCCTCGACCACAGCCGGTAGCCGAATCAACCTCGTCACCTACAAACACTCGACCATAAAGGCCCTCATAGACCCCAGCCTGCCCGTACAGGATGTCATCCGACAGCTCTGCGCAAACGCCCACCTCGGCGTGCAGGAACCACCCGCCCTGTTTGCCCTCCGCGACGACGAGACAGAGGAGCTCATCGACGACGCAAACATGGCGCGCAAGATCGAGGCAGGCGCAAACTTCAAGCTCACCTCGTCGCCCACCATCGAGGCCGTCGAGATGGTCGACAAGCTCTCGTCCCAGGACGAGCGTGTCCTCAAGATGGCCACCTACACCCTCCAGCGCCTCATCCGAGAGAAGCCCTTTATCGCAGAGTTCCTCGCACGCGGCGGCCTCAACGAGCTGCTCCACATCATCAAGACCCACGGCGTCGGCAACACGCTCGCCTACGCCCTCACCAGCTGCCAGAACCTCATGGAGAGCTCCGACCAGGGCTGGGACGTCATCGACGGCAACTTTATCGCAAAGGTGAGCTTGCTCGTCCCGTGCCGTTTCCGTTCCCCCGCCCCTTGCCGACGTACGGCTAGGCCCTGACGCCTACCCCCATCTCGCCATCGCACACGACAGGTCGTCTACATTCTCGCATCGCAAGAGAGGATCAACGTCTGCCGCCCGGCGACCGCGATCCTCCAGAAGCTCGTCCTTTCAGGCCCGCTCGACGCGCCCACCGACACAGCAGGCAGGGTGCTGACGGAAGGCGAGGCCGCTAACGCCAACTCTTCCAGCGGCGCAGCGGCGACCCGCGCCTACAAGTACGGTTTCGAGCCCGTCTATCGCGAGATCCGCGCCGAGCCCACTTTTCTGCAGACGCTCGTCCATCGGCTCGGCAGCGCAGACACGACACTCTGCCTCTACAGCCTCAGTCTTCTCAATAGCCTGATCCGCAACGTCACCGAGAGTCTCTTTGAGGACTTCATCTCCGAAATCGAGCGTCTCGACACCCCAAAGGCCGTGGCACGCCTCATGGACGCCAACCGCGGCGACGAGCTGTCGTCGTCGATCCTCGAGTATCAGGGCAACGCCGCCCGCATCGCCCGGCGGCGAATGAAGACGCCCGTCACGCCGACCGACAAGCGCCATGTGACGGCGCTCTCGTACGTCTGGCTGCAGGCCAGGATCACCGACGCTCCTGCAGATCCTGCGCCAAACGGCCTGGCTTCGTCGTCGGCCAACTCCCGCCTCAAGTGGCGACGTCTGGGTTTCGCGTCAGAGTCGGCGGCCAAGGAGTTTACGCGCGTCGGGTGGCTCGGCCTCGACTGCCTCGAGTCGTTTGTCCGCGCGGATCCGGACCTCTACGCCAAGATCATCCAGGAGCAGATCAACCGTCCCGAGGAACGGCGCTGCCCATTTGGTCGGGCCTCGATCGAGGTGACCGAGATCCTCGCCGACCACTGGAACGTCGAGAGCGGGTACACGACGTCGACGACGTTCAAACCGTTCCTCCTCTTTTTCCAGAAGGTGCACCACCTCGCGCTGCGCTTCTTCCTGCGCATCTGGAACGAGAGCGGCGCGGCGGCGGGCGACTTTTCGCGCGTCTCGGCGCTGGTCCGAAGCCAAGTGGCCCACTCGCTGCACGACGAGAGCACCAAGGGATGGTACGACGTCGAGCGCGACTTTCTCGAGTCCGAGTACCGCACGGTGCGCGATCGCCAGATGAAGGAGCTCGAGACGGAGGACGACTTCTCCAGCCGGGCGTCGATCCGCAACCTGCGGGGCAGGCTGTACCGGGAGAGCTACGAGTTTGTCCGGCAGCAGCGCATCCACTGCCTCCTCGAGGGGGCGTGGTTCCGCAACCCCGCCGCAGGCGGCGGGCGGTATCCGGGCGCCTCGGCGGGCGGCGGCGCCCAACGACGGGACACGATCCAGGGCATGCCTGGGGGCAGGCTGCAGGGCGCAGGTGGCGGCATGGCGGCGGCCTCCGGCGGCAGTGGCGGCGGCAAGACCTGGCGCTTCTACCGGCTCAGCCCGAACAAGAAGCACCTGCACTACTGCGAGGCGATGGAGCGGATACCGATACGAGGCGGGTTGGACGATCTTCCCGAGCGGATCGACCTGAGCCTGGTGATGGACGTAAGCCTCCAGGCCTCTGGAGGTGTCCACGGCGGACATGCGGCCAATGGCGGCGGCGGCGCAGACGGGGCTGCGAGTTCGCTCGTCTTCAGCCTGTTGCGTGCGCCCGACGTTTCGCTGGCGGACCTGCAGGCGCTCAACCAGAGTCAGTACAGCGAGTGGATCGACGGGCTCAACATGCTGCGCGGCGAGGGGGGCGTGGTGAGCACCAAGGAGACGGCCGAGTACATCCAGATCCTCACCGAGATTGGCGTCAAGGTCAAGCTGCTGGACCTGACGGGCGAAGGGGTGAGTGCATCACGATGCGTTGCGATGCCGGGGCGCCGCCTCTGCCTCTGCCTGGTTGAGGCGGCCGAATGCTGATTTCCGCTGGTCCTCTGTCGGTCCCTCCTCTGCCTGACCCCTGGACGGCACGTCGCAGATCGATATCCCGACATCGATTCCGCCGCCGCAGCTGCCGACGACGACCGAGTTCTTCTTTGCCGATCTGTGAAGAGAGGCGGCCACCTGCCGTACCGTACCGTATCTGTCGTCGCACGCGAAGACGCGACGGCATTGTGCCCATCTGCCACCGACTACACCCGTATACCCCCTCTCTCCTCTGCGTGGACTGCCAAGACCCTCGGGTAACAGACACGAGGCGGCCATGGGGTCGTCTATGGGCGACGGACAAGCAGTGCGGCTTGGGGAAGTCTGTGCAGACAAGGATGGCCTGGTTGAGTTGCGGATGCCGAGAGAGCCGCAGAGGGTGAGGAAAAGCGGCACGGAACCGTACGCCTGCCTGCCTGCCTGCCTGCCTGCCCGAGTTTTCTGACGCTACAATAGTGCCGCCTGATTGCGGTAGCGCGGCTGAGGAACGGCCGGCAAGGTGCTGTAGTTGACAAAGGGGGTGGGGGCGGCCGGTCCGCTGCCCGAGGGTGGGGCCTGGCGATGCTGCTAGGCTAGGCTAGGCTAGGCTAGGCCAGGCCATGCCATGCCCTCGCTCGCGGTGGCGAGGAAAGCAAGCGAGCGGCTGGTCTGGCCGGAGATCTATTGCTGTTGTGTTGGTGCGTCGATACGGCATTCTCGGACGGAGGCCCTCGGTTGTGCTCGCATATCCTGTAGACGACTCTCTGGCTGCTGATGGGCAGCCGGAGTGTGGTGCAAATGCCCCGGCGGCGGCGGCAGCGGCAGCGGGGTTGGCAAGGGCGTTGGACGTACGGCTTCCCCCCGCATCAGTCGACTGCAGGCCCGGCGTTGGTCGATCTGCCGCCTGGCTCTTCCCCGCATTCCTGGACGCTCCGCTGCGTCTTGACAACGCGCGCTTCTGCCCCACTACTCTTCCCTGCCCTGCTCGCCATCATCAAGGCGCTAAACGCTGAAACCGCCGTCGTTGTCCGCGCACGACGGCCAGGTGGTTCCGGCAATGCAAGGCAAGCACGATGATGTTCCACTCCCCCCACGTCGAGAGATCACCTGTCTGGGGTGCCTTGCAAGCTGGTCCTCTCACGCCCAGCGTCGTCGTCGGCTTAGGCTGACGGCCAGACGTGCGTGTATGCTGCCAGAGAGTCTTGCAGGGAGGTCTTCTGGGTGGCGAGAGCGGGTGGGGGCTCTGCATCGTCGGCCCCCACCTTCGACTGCACCACTCTACTACTTAATCGCCATCTCGAGGTCCACCTTCCTTGCATCCCCATCACGCCCTCCTCCTCCTCCTCCTCCTTCTTTCTCCTTCCTCCGACCCATCCTTCTCCGCCCGTTCCCTGTATAGACAGTCATGAGGACCACGACCGCCGCCACGGCCCTGCTGGCCGCCACCCTGGCACCCCTCGCCCTTTCGGCACCCACGGCAGAACACCACGCCCAGCGCCAGCACCAGCAGCAGCAGCAGTATGTCAAGCTGCACAAGCCTACGGGCGCGCCCTCGATTGCCCACTCCAAGGACTTCACCTCGTTCTCGTTCGAGCCGGCCTTCTGGACCGAGTTCTTTGGCGAGGCAGAGACGCCCAACCAGCTCACCCTCTCGCTCCTCTCGCGCCTCAGTGAGCGCGGCGCGCGCCCCGTCATCCGCCCCGGCGGCATCACCATGGACAGCATGATCTTTGACCCCGCCGCCACCAAGTCGGCCGTGCGCACCACCAACGCAAAGGGCGGCGTCTACCGCACCACGATCGGCCCGTCGTTCTACAAGGCCTGGGACAACTTCCCCGAGGGCACCGGCTTCGTCTCGACGCTCAACTTTGGCAACGACTCGTACGACATTGCGCGCGACCTCGCCGCCGCCTCGCACCGCTACCAGCGCGACAAGATCCGCCACTTTGAGCTGGGCAACGAGCCGACAAACTACGTCTCGACGCGCTGGCAGAACAAGACCGACGCCTACGTCGCCCAGTGGAAGGACTGGACCGGACGCATCGACGCCGAGCTCGACAACCCCAAGCGCTCCTGGTGGGCCTCGTCGGCCACGACCGACAAGACGGGCCTCGAGGTGAGGCCCGCCGCCCTCATCCCCGCCGGCATCGACGACCAGAAGCAGGTGGGCCAGTACAGCATCCACTCGTACGCCTTTGCCACGTGCGACCCCAAGCGCGACGCCCTCGCCACCATCCCAAACATCCTCAACCACACCCACCTGCTCGAGTACGCCGACGTCGAAATCTACCCCTCGGCCAAGGCCGCCCTCGACGAGGGCAACCAGTGGATCGTCGGCGAGTTCAACAGCGTCGCCTGCTCGGGCAAGCCCAACGTCACCGACACGTTTGCCCAGGCCCTGTGGACCGTCGATACCGACCTCATCTACGCCGAGCGCAACGCCTCGGCCGTCTACCTCCACCAGGGCGCCACCCTCGTCTTCCAGTCCAGCCAGCAGTCCAACACGGCCGGCGACGACGGCGGACCCGGCTTCTCGGCCTACAGCCTCCTCTACCCCGTCGACTCGTCCAAGCGCGGCAAGGCGCGCGTCAACCCGGGCTTTGTTGGCCAGCTCTTTGTCACCGAGGCGCTGGGCACCGAGCGCGTCGCCTCGCTGCCGGCGCCCAAGGGCGTCGATTCAGACTACTTTGCCGCCTACGCCTTCTACGACCGCGACGAGGGCAAAAAGATCCGCAGGGTGGCCGCCATCAACTCCAAGCCCTACTACGGCAAGACGGGGGGCAACAAGCGCGACTCGAGCGACAACGCGGTGCACCTCGACCTCTCGTCGCTGATGCCCGCCGCCTTGAAGGGCAAGAAGGCATGGCTCAAGAGGATGACGGCACCCGCCGTCAACGAGACCGACACGGCGCGCGTGACGTGGGCGGGCCAGAGCTTCAAGCAGGCCGTCCCAGAGGGCAAGGTCGACATCGAGAGGGTGCCCAAGGACGGAAAGGTCGAGGTGCGCGACAGCGAGGCCGTCCTCGTCTTCTTCTACGAGGACGACGTCTTCCGCCAGTAGAAGGGCAGCGGTGCCGGCGGCGGCTGCATGGTGTCGGCCGCGCCTGGTCAGGGGCGAGGACGATCCAACGAAGCGCGACGAAGATACGCCTCCTTCATGTAGATCACGGAAACGGACGGGCGCTCGTAGAAATCCATCTGCTGATGCTTGCCAGTCCTCTTACATGCCCGTGAGAACGCGCGACTCGGCTCCGTGTGGTCAGGGCCCCGAGCAGCATTGAAGACGGGCCCGGGGGCCTGGCTTTTCCCACAGCGCGGATCGAGAAAGATCTGGCCAGGCGCCCTCGAGCGGGCGACTGATCTCGCCAGCTGCGGCATGGGTGTGCTTGCGATGTCATAGTGGTACAGTGGTGATGCAGAGAGGGTAAGCTCGGAGGACAGATCGGCGGGACGTCACCCCTTGTTGAATCTGCGAGCGACAGGGAGATCGAGGGTGAGGTTCAGACAGGTTTCAGCAGACGTCGCGGAGAGGGTAGACCGTCTTCCTCCTAGAAGGAGCCGGCTAGGACTTACGCCTGTTGCTGTTGTCTCGCCTTCCGCTGGTAGGCCATGTCTGTCCTGCTCGCGCCGAGGTTGACGACCTTTGGACACCCGTCACGGTCCTTTTCTAACCGCGTGCACTCTGCGCAGTAGTACGCGTCCTGTTTAACGTGGCGCGCGCAGAAAGGGTGGGCAAGGGCGCGAGCGTGCGTTGGTCGGTCGGTCTGTGATGCTGCAGGATCGACGGGGGGTGGGCCAGGTGCGGGAGATGTGGCTCAGAGATCTGCTCACCGAGATGCCTTGGCTTCCGCAGATGATGCATCTGCCACCGTAGGTGCCAAAGTTGCACTCCTCGCAGATGCGCACGAGCGCCGCCGGTCGCACGTAGGAGTCGCAGATGGGGCTGGGAGACAAGGAGGAGGACGCGAGGGCAGACGGGTCGTGTCAGTCCTCTGGCCGGGCCGAACGAAGCCGATAGTCAAGAGACCATGCTAAAATACAGCTACCTACTCACCACTTTCCGTCGCACTTTTCGCAGAGCCGCCCGATGGCGATGCCCGGCAGCTTGCGGCAGAGGATGAGATCCGGGTTGTGTCTGCCGGGGGGGCAAGGAGGTTGGGTAGATGAGATGGTGAGCGAGCTGCGGTCGGAAAGTGTGAGCGGCCGATGCACGGTCGTGTGCACTCACTTTGACATGCTTGTGCGGCTTGACCCTGCTAGTTCGGTCGCAATGGCAGCAGTGATGGTGGTCAAGGCGGTGGTGGCGGCTAGGGCGCGCGTTGGGTGCAAGAGAGGCTGTTGGGGTGGCTACCGCTGCGCTGCTCAGCTGCTCAGCCGCACAGCCGCGCCCGATTTCCGAGCAGCGTGGGCTGACCTGGCCAGGCGGGGGTGTGATTATTTGCGGATCGCGGGCGAGGGGCGGGCGAGTGTAGCGGACGTTGCCGCCGAACAAATCCGCTCCACCTCGTCTTATTTTTTATTTATTTTTTGCCCCCCCCTGCTGCCCTGGCTGCTTTTTCGCCGTGGGCCGCCCGCCGACTTTTTTTCCCCCTTCGGAAGAGCAAGAGGGTCAAGGCAGGCAGAGAGGCACGTCAACCAACCGCCTCCCTGGAAACCCTCCGGCGCTGCCCACGCCCAGCTGCGCAGCGAGCGGGCGAGCGCCAGAAAGTTGACCGCGGCACTGGGCGCGCCTGCCTGCCTGCTGCCTGCCTGCTGCCTGCCTGCTGCCTGCCTGCCCGCCTGCCTGGTCTCTCTGCGTGCCCGCTTTCTCTTCTCGGTCTGACCCGACTGACGGCGACCTCTCCCTCGCTCGGTGACTCTGACCGCCGGTGTTGCCGAAGCTCGACAGGTCTACGTACTGACTGGCTCGTCGACGGTTCGCTCCCGGACACCACCATCACCCGCCTTGACCTCGTCCTCCGCATCCTTCGCATCCTCCGTTCCCTTCTGCCCCCACGGCCAACGTCTTAGCTCGCACAGCAGTGATCATGGTCCTCTACTCGAGCTTCTGCCTCTAGCTACTCGACATCCACTCTTCTCTTCGCTGCTTCACTTCGACGCCTCCCGTTTACGCCCTCGATCACCACCGGAACCGCATCCGCCTCCCATCCAGACCCAAAGCCACCATCCCCGTGTTCTGAAAAGGCGTCGTTCCTCTCTCTTTCTTTCTCTTCGTCGGGCCAACCCTTTTGCGCCATGTCCGCTTCCAACCAGGCCGGCCCGTCGTCCGGCCCCGGTTCGGCCGCAGCCAGCGAGGCTGGCGACCCGCCACACACGCCCAACTCAAACTACGACAACCCAAACGACGACAGGAAGCTCTCCCGCGGCACCGGCAAGCGCAACCGCGTCCACTTTGCCTGCACCGAGTGCTACCGCCGCAAGCAGAAGTGCAACCGCGAGACGCCCTGCCAGCACTGCATCGCACGCAAGGTCCCAGAACGATGCCGCACCTTCCAGCCGGGCGAGGACGCCAACGACGTCGGCTCCCGCCTCTCGCGCCTCGAAAAGCTCCTCGAAGACTACCTCCCCGCGCTCATGAACCGCGTCGAGGTGGCCATCTCGGCCAGCAACAACGGCGACCACCGCTTGCAGCACAGCTCCGCCGAGCACCGCATCGTGAAAGCCGGCACCGCCGACCCCGCCATGCTGACCGCATCACCCACCGCGATCCACCCCGACCTCGGCGCCAAGCGCCTCTCGGTCACCACCAACGCCGGTGCTGAGAGCGACGAGGATCCCGCGGCGGATCAAGACAGCCTCAGCCCAAAGACGGGCATCTTCATCGGAGGGGGCGCCATGGAGATGCACCTCGGCACGCTCCTCGGAAAGCTACCCGGAAAGAAGCCTTCGCCTGCCTTTCGCGAGCCCATCCGCACCATCGAGGGCCAGCCAGACCTCGACGAGATCATGTGCGAGTATGGCGCCCCACTCGGCGGCTCTGCCGAGATGCTGGCCGCCCTTCCCGACCGCGCGCTCTGCGGCAAGCTCCTCGACCACTACTACGAGCAGATCAACTGGATCCGCCAGCCGCTTCCCCGACGCAGCCTGCTCCAGTCATTTGACAAGTTCTGGGACGACGGGCCCAAACTCACCGCCGACAACATCAACATCTTCGTCATCCTCTGCTGCCTCTGCGCCATCTCCTGCCTCTCGTTTGAAGACCCTAACATGCCCGAGGGCGCTCACAGCCGCATCCTGGCCGCACGCAGGTACCACTTTGCTGCCCGCAAGGGCCTCCATCTCAGCACCGTCATGGGCCGCGAAGACCTCGACCACATCGTCGGTGCCTCGCTCTCGTGCCGCTTCATGCTTCTCGACCGTAGGATCGGCGAGGCCTACACGGCTAGCGGCACCCTGATGCGAGCCGCCTACACGATCGGACTGCACCGGGATGGGACAAAGCTCGGCCTCAACCTCGTCGAGACCGAGGCCCGGCGCCGCGTCTGGGCGAGCATCTACTTCCTGGATCGACTGCTCAGCGTCACCACGGGCAGGCCGCCCGCCATCGACGACCGCATCTGCGACACGCTACCGCCCTCGGGAGGCGTCGACGACGACGTCTACCCGATGCCCCTGAACCATCCCAAGATGCCGGAAGGGGTAGAGCCGCCGACCCCCATGTCCTACGCCATTTACCGCCATCACATCGCCCTGATCGAGGGCCGTATCCTTGCTGGGTGAGTTGCGCTGATGACCAGATTTGGAGCTGCCCTGTTCAGCCAGGGAAGTCGCGGTCCGCTGAAGTCTATCTCCTTCTTCCCTCCACCTTCGCGGCAATCTGACAGCCTGCAGAGCCTCGACAGCACCCTGCATGTCAGCGACGTGCTCGCTCTCGACCGCGAGATCCGGGCTCTGCAAGATGGCCTGCCGTTCTACTTGCGCGCGAAGCGGACCTCTTCCGGCGTCGAGTGCGACCGCAGCCTCGACTCGGCCTACGGCTTCCTGGCCGTCCAGCGATTCCTCGTGCACACCGAGATCAACGCGGTCCGCATCGCGCTGCACCGCCCGTTTTTGCTGCGGTCCTCAAGCAATCCCAAGTACCTGCCGTGCCGCGAGGCCTGCCTCGACGCCGCCCTGCACGACATCGAGCTGCGCAACCTGACGCTGCGTCCACTCAAGGACAATGTTTCGCACGAGCTGATGCAGGCTCTCCGGGTGCACATTGGCACCTTCAAGTGGTTCCACTCGCTCCTCGTATGCGGTGTGGTGCTGTTGATGCAGCCAGACGCGCCCAATGCTGGACAGCTGCGTGGGCACCTGCAACATTTCGTCAACATCCACTACGGCAAGTCTGCCCACCAGGCCGACGAGATGCGGACGCGCGAGGCGCATGTGATTGAGCTCTTCCTCGGGAAGCTCGACGAGCTGCAGAGCCACAAGGCGCAGCCGGGCGGCAAGACGGCCGGCCGAAAGCGAAGCAAGAAGCAGCTCGTCCTCGACGAGGCGACCAAGAAGCCGCGAGCGCATTCGCCGGCGTCACGCACGAAGGAGTCTGCAGCAGCAGCAGCAGCCACCACCAAGGGCGACGACTCTCGCGACAGCGCCGCCACTCGCAAGGCCGTCGGCAGCGCAAACTCTCGGGAGGCCGACGTGGATGAGCATGCCACTGCGGACCTGCTGCTGGGACTCGGGCAGCAGGCGCGCCACTCTACGCAGGGGGTCGACGCAGCCCGGGGCGAGGGCGAGCGCAGGTCCGCGTCCGCGTCCGCCTCGAGATCGTACGCCGAGCTGTCCGGCTCGGGATCAAGATCCCTGCAGTCGATGGACGCATCGCCGTACAGGCAGAGCTCGGGTGACTGGCCGCGAGGTTATCCGGGAGTCGGAAGCGGCGGCAACGGAGGGGGCGGCAGCGGCACCAACAGCCCCTTGGGTACGCCTGGGACGGAGCTGCTGGGCAGCACCGGCTCCGCGATGCCCTCGCCCATCGATGTCGCCGGAGGCGGCACTGGCTCTGGCACCACCGGCGGCGGCGGCGGCAACGCGGGCAACAGCGATGAGGCACAAACCATCTTTGACAACTGGTACCGCGCCGAATTCGCGACGGCCTCGATGCCGAGCTACGAGGCTCCGTATCCGCAGAACGGGCTCGGTGCCCTGCCATTCGGGCTGGGGATGCAGATGCCGGCGACATCTGCGGCGCCGGGCCGGTCGATGTATAACGGGCAAGGACCATCGCAGCAAATGTCAACGATGGGCGGCGGGGCGATGATGGAGCCAGGGCAAGCGCAGCAGCAAGGACCACCCGGCGGAGGCCTGACGGCTTCGACGGGATGGGACATGGGCAGCATCGCCAGCATCAACGGACGGGATGCTCCGGGCTTCCCGACGCTCAACCAAGGCCTCAGAGGCGCGGCCAACGGCGGCGGCAGCAGCTTTGTCGGATCGTCGTCGTCGCCTCCGACGACGAGCATGGCGACGGCGCCGACGCCCGGCTACCCTCCGATGCAGCCCGGTAGCGGTGTCGGCGGCAACTTGGGGGCGCAGTCGATGGCGGGCGCCAACCACAGCGCCGGCAGCAACACCAACAACAACTTTGGCGGCGGCATGGTGCTCGGCGGGATGCAGCCGCCGACGTACGGGGCGGGCAACGCGTGGCCGCCCGCGCCCGACCAGCAGGGCAATCCGGGCTTCGACCCGGCCTTTTGGCAGACGTTGATTGACAAGATTGCCTCGTAGCTGGCGGGTCACGACGACGACAGCAATGATGATGGTGTGTCGCGGCGGCTCGACGCTTGTGCCTCTTCTCTGTATTCTGACTATGCTGCTCTCCCAACCGCCTTCGCCATCGACTGCGTGTATAGTACCTCTAATCCTTTGATACTTTCGGACGCGTTCGCGCCTGCGCTGCTGCCCGACGGACCCCATGCGTCTATCAAGACTCGGTCTCGAAGCATTCTTAGATTGACGTTCAAGACGTGGGTGGTCTTTGCGGGTTCGGTCTGGATGCGGTCTTGGCTTAGGACCGCGATGGAACGCACGCGATGCATGGGACGCATCCGATCCGATTCGGCCCGGTCCGGGCGGGCGGGAATGAAGCAAGCAAGCTATGCAAACAGCGCCAGGGTCCGACCCTTTCCCGCGGTGCAGGCGGCGGCTGCTGCCTGCCGGCGTGCGTGCTGCTGGTTGATGATGTTCTGCAGGTCACGATCTGTCGGCTGGCCTGGCCTGGCCTGGCCTGGCCTGCTGGGCGCCAAAAGGCAAAAGCAAGGGCGCGCGAAAGGCGGAACCCCCGAAGTACAGCAGGAAGGCGGGCAAAGCAGCAAGCTAAGCAGCAAGCAGGTGCCCGCGGCAGAGGGAACCCGCCTGGCTGGTTGGCTCCAGCTGGATTGATGGTCGGAGATGGATGCGTCGAACTCTCCGTGCGCGAGGCGGACCCTGTCTCGCCTGGAGTTTCCGGTCCCCTGCCCTGCTTGGCTTGGCTTCTACCTGTTCTTCCCGTCGCCACCGCTGCCCGCCAAAAGTGGCCGGCTTTTTGTCGGAAGCCCGCCGACATCGGTCGCGACTGGCCTGACAGCCTGCTGCCCGTGGCCTTGCTTTGTCGTCGTCGTCGATGGCGATCGATGGATGTCTTGGTGTTGCGCTCGAGGCTGCTTTCGCACGCAAGCGTCCGCGAGGCTACCCTTCGCGCTTTTGCGCTCGACGTACGTCCTGCCTCGTGCACCCGCTGAGGCCTCGATGACTAGGCCGCGCCCGCGGTCAAGAAGCAAAGGAGCGGCGTGGGTTTGCTGCCAAGCCAAGCCAGAGCAAGCGGCGGAGGCGAGCCGGCGACGGGACCCTCGGGACCTCGCCTCGTTGGCCCTGTCTCATATCACTTCGGTCCCAGCCGAGAGTTGGCGAGCAAGCAAGCAAGCAAGCAAGCCCGAAGCAAAGCATATGGCGGGCGGAGCACGAGCGAGCGAGCGAGCTGAGAACCGGGGCGAGCTGACAAAAGGCGCGGCGCGCTCAAACCGCCTCGCCCTGCCTGGCCTGCCTGGCTTTGCCTTGGTGGCTCTCTCGATGGCGGGCAGCCAACGACAAAAGGCCAAGGCAGAGTCGCAGCAGCATGGCAGAAAGAGAGGCGAGGACCGGATATCGAGCCTCCTCGTCCAGGTACACACACTGCACACGCGCGCGCGCCTGGCACTCCAGCACCCAGCCAGACAAAGGCAGAGCGAGCGTGCGTACTGTAGAACCTCGTCGAGCGGACAGGCAGGCAGGCGCGCAGGAATTCGCCGCTCAATTTTTGGTGCTCCCAGCGATGGTCGGGGTCCTGACAGCTTTTTGGGTGGCCTTTCCTAGCGTTGCTTGCCTCACTCAATGCCGCCTCTGCTTCTTCCAGCCAGCCTCCCTCTCTCGCTCCCAAGCTCCCCAGCCTCGCTCGTCGAAGACGGCGACGACTGGCCAGCTGCCATCGTTTCATGTGCAACCCACGCTCTGCCCTCTCCGGGCGCCCTCGAGCCAGCTGCCTCGTCTCATTGGCCAGGCCAGGCTAGGCTAGGCCAGGCTTCGTTTCATCGAGCTCGACGCCGGATCTAGACGCCGGATCAAGGTCAGCTGGTGGTCCTGATCGATGGCCAGCATGGCCCATGGGCCCCCGCTTGCTCGGTCGGCCGTCCCCGCCACGCCCTCGAGCCTGGTCCTGGCCATCTCGAAGCACCTCGCCAGCATCGCCCGCATGCTCGCCTCCTCATCTGCCCCAGATACCTTTACGTTGGTCTGCTGCCCCGCAGATCCATGCCGGGCTGCTTGCTCGTCGCTTCCCCTCTTAACCTCGCTCCCTTGCTTTCGCCCCATCGGTATCCCTGCCCTCTCCTCGCCATCGTCTCCAACTCCTCTCGCACCATCAGCGACTCCCTCCCCTCCGCTCACTGTGCCCCAGCCACCCTCCTTATACGTGGTAGAGCCAGCGCCCACCTGTAGTCACCGTCTTCCACCACAGCTCCCCCTCTAGGAAAGAATCGATATGCTGGCCGAATACCCTCTGGGCAGCGCAGAGTCCCTGTGAGTACCGCACCTTCTGCCTCGGCCACTGCTCAACGATACAGGCTCTGACTCCCACGTCTTTTGCGCACGTTCGCCATGCCCCAACGACAGGCCGCGAGTCCCGCCCAAGACCCAGGTCCGCACCTCCTACCGCTCGCGACCTACCATGGGCAAGCCGCTCAACGCCACCAGCGCCAGCCCCACGCCCTCAGCGCCTGCGCCCGCCAACGTGGAGAAGACGGCCGTCTCTGAGCACGCCCTCGAAGCCATCCACCATGCCATCAGCGGACAGCCCTGGGCCGACCTCGAGCTCATCGTCTCGCACGGCAGCGGAACCCAGAGCGTCTTTGCCAATAGCAACATCCTCAAGAAGGCGTGCCCCGTCCTCATGAAGGGTAAGTGGCAGCCGACACTCGACACGCGCTCGAGCTTGCGACGCAGCAGACTGAGCCGACAACGCGCCTTTTCGTCCCCCTTTGCCCCCCTCTAAAACGCAATCATCGCAGAAATCAACCGCACCGGTGCCCTCGAGCTCGACACGATGGAGGACCTCAACCCGGTCGGTGGCGGCAAGTCGGGTCGGCGCACCGCGTCGGCCAGCCTCTCATCGCGCCCCACCTCGGCTCGACGCACCTCGTCGAGCGGCCTGCTCGACTACAGCTCCAACGGCCGCCCTCGCGAGCGCGCGCCCGGCTCGTTCAACCGCCGCTCCGAGGGGGGCGACGAGTACGACGACGCGCAGGACTCGTTCCTTGGCGATGACAACAACGACGACGACGTCGACCGCGAGTTCCCCCGCAAGAAGAGCGGCGCCATCCGCCGCGACGACAACCTGGTCGACGACGACGAGCTCGAGCACGAGGACGACGTCGACGAGGCTTCGTCGTACCTCGCTGCCGGCCACCGCGTCGCCAAGGTGCCTGGCTCGAACGGCTCGACGCCCGTCGAGACGCCCTCGTCGCCGTTTGCCAACACTTTCAGCAAGGCGCGCCTGTCGCGCTTTGTCAAGTTCATGGGCAAGGACAAGACGCCCGACGCGCTCGAGTCGCCCTCGCTCGCCACGGGCCCCGTGGTGCCGGGCAAGGAAGACTACCTGAGCGAAGGGGGTCGCGTCCGGAGGTACTCTGCCGCCAACGATCTCTACCCGAGGAGCGGCGAGATGGGCGCCAACGGCTCGCGGCCCACCATCGGCGGACGGGCCCCTGCGGCATCGCGCGTCCACGTCAGCGGGTGCACGCCCGGCACGCTCCAGGCGCTCATCTTCTACCTCTATACCGGCCAGACGAGGTTCGCGCGCAAGCCCACCCGCCGCGTCGGTGGGGCCGGCGACGAGTCGGACCTCTCGTCGGACGAGGAGGACGACGTCGACGACGAAGACGCCGACCACGACGACGAGGCCGACGTCCCCGAGGCCTCGGGCGACAAGCACGACGGCTCCAAGTCGCAGAGCTACCCGCCGCTCCTCTCGTCGCGCGCGGCCTACTGCCTGGGCCACCAGCTCAACCTGCCCGACCTCCAGGCGCGCGCCTTTGCGCACCTCTGCGGCCTGCTGTCGTCGCGCACGGTGCTCGGCGACCTGCTGTCGCCGTTTGTCGACCGCTTCGCCGAGGTGCAGCAGGCGCACCTCGACTACATTTCAAAGCACTGGGACAGCGTCAAGTCGCGCGACGACTTTGCGCCCATTATCGGCAAGCTGGTCAAGGGCGAGTACCCCAAGGCCAACGCGGCGCTGCTCCAGCTGTTTGCCAAGTTCCGCATCTCGCCCTGAGCAGTTACACGATGGACACTCCAGCTTGCCATTGCTTTCCGATCCGACGACTCAGACTCGCTGTCCTGATCTCGTCCGTTGCTCTTGTCTCGCCGCGTCGCCGTTGGCTCTCGCCTGTCTTTTCCACTTTCTTCCCTTCCCCCACCTCGTCGCTTGGTATATGCGGCCGCGCTCGATAGGCCCACGCTCCTTTGTCTTGGCTTGTTTTTTGATATCCTCGATCGCTCGTTTCGGCAGCAATACACCCGCCGACTTCCCCATCGCCTGAAGGTAGCAGCAGCCGTGGTTGCCATACCCTGATCGGTTCGAAGCGCTGCCCAGGCGGAACAGGGTCGAACGCAACTGAAGTCAGAGTCAAGAGTGGAGTGTGTTTTGGGGCAGGACGTGGATCGGCGGAAATGAGCCGGCTGGATGTAGAAGGGGGCGGCGCGAACGACGAGGGTGGGCGCCTAGGTATTGTACACGATGCGATGCACGCAGACGAGCGGAGCCGGAGGAGCCGGGGGAAAGGGCAAGAACAGGTCGGACGGGTTCGACGGGGCGGTAGGAGGGCCCGCCCGCCCGGCGTCGTATCTATGGTTGTGTCGTCGTAGCTCGAGAGTGGGGGGGGGGGGAAGGGGGTAAAGGGTGCGGGGCAGAGAGAGACGGTGCGCCAGGTATTGTGCGGGGAGGATCGCACGCCAGACATGCGACCGAAGGCTGCGGGGGGGGATCAGATGAGGGCCTCCTTTGCCTTTGTCCATGTGGCGGCGGCGGCCATCATGATTGCGCTGGCCGTCATCATGGGGCGCGTGCCGGCGGTGCACTTGAACAGGGCGCCGCTGAGTCCGCCGGCAGCGACGGCGCCGTAGATGTCGTGTTTGCCGCGGGTGGCGTCGATGGCGGCGTCGACGAGGTTGTAGATGAGGGCGACGACGCCTGCCGAGTTGCCAAAGAAGGAGCCGCGGCGGGTGACCTGGTTGAGGATGGCGTTGAGGCGGAGGCGGAAGGTGGGGTTGTCTACGCCGAGCGGGCGCGAGAAGCCTTCGCGGGCGCCGAGGAGGCCGCCGATGGCGAGGCCGGAGAGGTACGTGGTTCCCGTGCCGTAGCACAGGTCGTCGCTCCATCCGCGCGAGGGGACGGCGGTGCGCCCGCCCTCGAGCGACGAGGGGGCGTTGTCGGCGATCTCGAGGTACTCGAGGTCCTCCTTCTGCAGTCCGGCCATGGGGTGCAGCGCCGACACGTCGAGCGCCGAGTCGTACAGGAGCGAGGTGGCGGATGGGACATAGGGCTCCGAGGCGGCGGCGGCGGCGGCGGTGCCGGGAGCAGCGCTCGACGAAGACGAAGACGGTGCGGACGGCGTGACAAACGAGTGGCTGCGCAGGTATGCGGTCGGGTCCGAGTCGGCAGAGTTCGACGTTGGCGAAGGCGCGGCGGATGCCGACGGTGGCGGCGGCGTCGAAAGGTCGACCTGTGATGTGGATGCCGACGACGACGACGCCGACGAGGAGGAGGACGAGGACGAGGAGGAGAATGGCCAGACCATGTTGGGCTCGGAGTGGGAGGTGGCGGGCGAGCTTGTGCGGGTTGGTGTGCTGATCAAGTGTGGAGAGAAGCAGGGCGCTGGGGTGCTGATGGCGAAATGTGCAGTTGTGGGCGAGTGCGGGGTTCAAGGGTTGGTGGTGACGAGGATGGTGATGGAGAGCGAGCGAGCCAGGTGACCTTGGCCCTCTGGTTGGCCTCCGCCGCCGCCTTAGCTGAGAGGCTATGCTTGGCGAGCCCCCGGCGAGATTTTTCTCGTGGGCGGGCGGGTGGTGGGAAATTCGCAGTGCTTCCGAGATCTTCTTGCTTGAGTCTGGCCTTTCCGCGCCTGCCCGATGCGGGGTTGTCGGGTTGCGGTCCAAGTCGGCGCCCCCTTCCATCAGCAGGCTAGGCTGGCTAGTCAATTTCAATTCGCACGAGAGAGAGAGGGTGGCGCCCAACTGAAAATTGGCAGGCGGGCCCCTCTGGCGAGAAGGTTGGTTGTCACCGCCGCCGCCGCTGCTGCTGCTGCTGCACCTACACACCGTTCAATCCATCAGCTGCTATCGCTTCTACGGCCGCACCGCTGATCGCAATCACCACCATCACCACCACCACCACCACCACCTACTCCTCTTCCTCCTCCTCCTCCACCGCCACCTCGCATCTCCGACAATGTCGCTCCTAGCAACGCTGCGACCTCAGCTGCTGCGCACCGCGGCAGCGACGACGGGCTCGACGGCCTCGACGTCGTCGCTCCTCGTCGCCAGCCCCTTCTACGGCCCCTCGCCCTCGTCGTCGGTGCTGCCGTCGTTTGCGTTCGGAGGCTCGGTCCAGACGCGTAACTCTACCAAGCGAGGCGGCGGCTCTACAAAGAACAACCGCAACTCTGCCGGTAGGAGGTTGGGCGTCAAGCGTCATTCCGGTGAGTAGCGCCGCGCCGAGAGCTAGGATCCGACCTCTGCTCCGTCCCCCCCCCCCCTTTCGATAGAGTCTACAGACGTCTGATACCATCGCGCCCCCACGCACCATCTCACCTCCTTCCTTTTTCCTCCGTCTGATCAGGTCAATACGTCCAGGCGGGAGAGATCATCTACCGCCAGCGCGGCACGTCGTGGCACGCCGGTCCCAACGTCGCAATGGGCCGCGACCACACCCTCTTTGCCACCTCGTCCGGCTACGTCCACTTCTTCTACCCCAACCCCGCAACCCCCGCCACCTCCTTCTCAACAGCCACCACCACCACACCGTCCTCGTCCTCGTCCCCGTCTTCGACTTCGACTGGGGCCCTGCCGGCGCTAGCGCAAAAGACCTACGTCGCCCCGGACCTCGTCACGGTGCCGCACCCGTCGAGCAAAAAGCAGACGCGTCGCTACGTCGGCGTCAGCCTCGTCCCCGACGCCGCCTTCCCGCGGCCCCAGGGCGAAAAGAGGCAGCGCAAGTTTGAAAAAATCGACATCAACGACCTCAACAAGCAGATCAAGGCCGTCAGGCTCCACAATGCCGAGGCGGCCCTCTGACGACGAGATGCCGTGCCTTGTTTTGCGCGCACCAGCACCGATTCCGCCGTTGCGGGCGCCGGGTGGCCGCGACCTGTTGTTGTAAATAAGGATGTGGAATGGCCTAGATGGGGCATGCGGCGCTGCGGCCCGTCGAACGATATGCCGACCTCTACTTTCTAGTCTCTTCCCTCTTCTCCTCGCGCCGTCGTCTCCCTCCTCGTAGTGCAGCGTGCGGGGAGAGGACGCGCCCACGGCGACGGCTACTGCTGGCTGAGCCGGTTGAGCAGCCACTGCTCGAGATCCTGCCATCCTCCGCCCACTCGGACGAGAATCTTCTTGGCCTTGGTGCCCGCCCGAGCCCCCGCTGAGCCAGCAGGACGGTGCTGTCGAGGGGCATGTGCAAAGAGCAGGGAAGCGGTTCGTGGAGCAGGCTCGGTCAGCAACGCGACGTGCATCAAAGGGGGGCAGACATCGCGCCCTGAGATGGCACCACGGCCGTCGTCGACTCACGAGCTCGAGCAGGCGGCACATGACTTCCTTGCCGCCCACCTCGTACCGCGTCCGGTTGTCCTTGCCCGGGCCCTCTTCCAGCCTGACGCCGCGCGGCAGCGGCGCATCCAGCCTCTCGAGGCTGACGCCCAGGCCATTGGCGATCGCAGCCACCTCGACGTCGAGCGCATCGTTGGGGTTGGGCTTGTACACCTCGATCCTCGCGCCTCGCCCTGCCTCTCCACCGAACCCGGACCCGGCCATGGAGCCGCTGCCCAGCCTCTGCCCCGTCCACGTCGCGTTCGAGAGGCCGCCAATGGAACCGTTGTCGCTCAGCGTCGGCGTGACGCGACCCCCTCCTCCCCCGCCTCCTGCCACCGAGGCGCCGCCCAGCCCGCGCGACGCCCGGAAGTTGGCCACGCTCGACCGCTTGTTGGTCGCCGACGGCGACGACACCGAAGACGGATCCGCGCCGGGGAGCGAGGCCAGCGCGGCCGCCGAGAGCGGCGTCGTACGACCTGCGCCGACGCCACCCGCCGCACCGCCGTTCCTCATCCCGGCAAGCAGCGAGGGGTTGACCCGAGTGATCGGCGGCCGGCTGGAGCGCTTGCTCGCCGGCGTGCCAGGCGTCGCCATCCCGGCCACGCCCGTCGAGGGCGCCCGCGCGTACATGCTCAGGCGCTGCGCCCGTGCCATGATCGTCGGTTCTGGCGTCTGCATCGACAGCCTCGAGGCCCCCGCAGTGTACCGCGGCGGGGTCAGCGCCGCCTTGTTCTGGCCGCTGGTGAAGGTGCTGTTGGAAGCCTGCGAAAGCGATGAGCCTGGCCTCGACGGCGTCGACGACCCCACGGCCGTGGCATCCGAGCTGACGGCCAGCCGTGGGATCATCGACTCTCGCCTCCTGGCTTTGACGTCGCCCACTGTGCCCGTCGCAGAGGGCGGCCGGTAGTAGGACCCGCCAAGCGACGAGCCTGGTCGGTCGCCCGAGCCCGGCGCCCTGGTCGAGGTCGAGGCGCGGCTCGAGTTGTCGATCCACTCGATCTCGTTTGCCTCTGCGGCAGCACCCGAGTCGACCCGTCCCCTGCCGCTCTGCGGCGTCGATGTGCCGATCCTCGAGGATGGACGAGCCGTCTGGCTGGGCAGCGGCGGCGCGTTGCTGCCCTGCATCGACCTGCTGGTCCACGACGGCTCAGGCTGCGGCGTCTTGGACCGCTGCGGTGTCCCAGGAGCACCGGCTGCATCGAAGCCCAGCCAGCTCGATCGATAGCTCGAGGGCGGCGCTCGGCTGGGCGTGCTCACCTGTGCGACCGCCTCGGCGGCCAGCCTGGCATCTCCCTGACCGCGGTTCGAGAGCGCGCTCGGCCGGCTGACGCTGGGCAGGGGCCGTCGCGTATCGGGGGGCGAGCCGCCCACCCTGGCTGCGGTCCAATTCTTGAGCGCCAAATTCTCTGGAAATGCGGCCGAGCTGGACCGATTGTGCCTCGCCGCGCTCTCCCTGGCGGCAGATAGGGCGGTGGCAAAGTTCTGCGAGCGCTGCGGACGCAACGACCTCGGCGAGTCAAACGTCTTTGTTGACGCGCGGGGCGGAGTCGAGATCGGCTGGCTCTGCAGGCCCAGGGCTTCAGCGGTCGCAGAGATCCTCCGCAGCCGGCTCTTGGGGGGCGGCGGGGGCGGCGGTGTGCCGTTGCCCGAAAGGTTCGAACTGAGCGAGGAGCTGCTCGAGAGCCTTCCGGGACCGCTGGTCACGCGCGAGCCCAACGCCGAGGATCGGAGCGCGCTCTTGGGCGTCAAGGCTGGGCGGCTCGGGCTCCCCTGGCCCAGCGCCGTCTGCTGCAGCTGCCTCGCGCCGAGGGCGGCGGGGGGCAGAGCGGGCATGCTGGCCGATGCGGCGATAGGGAAAGCGATGCGCCCCGCCTGAGATCCTGCGGTTGGGTCCTCGAGGCCGGCCTGGAGGCGCTGCAGGATGGCCTCGATTCGCTTCATGTTCTTCTCGGTCCGAAGCACCCGCTCGCGCATCTGCCTCCAGCGCGACTTGAGGTCGGCCAGCTTGCGAATAATGGTGCCATTCGAAGCACCCCTCTCCTTTGTGCCCCGCTCCAGCACCTGAAAGACCTGGTCGCAGGCCGGCGTGTAGTAGGACTTCTTGACGGTGAAGGCCTTCTTGACATCGGCCAGCTCGGCCAGCCTCGCGGCGGGATCCCGCTCGCCGCCGACAGCGTCGTCGGCCTCGGCGTCGGCCGATGCTGCCGACGTGGCCGAGATCAACCCGGCCTGGTAGTCGCGGTTGAAGTCGGAGACGAACGTCTGGCAGTTGGTGATGGCCTTGTCCAGACTGTCCATCATGCTCTTGGCCTGCTCCGAGACGGAGCGGAAGACGACAATGTACTTGTCGTCGTTGAGCTCCTTTTTCAGCGCATCGGCCTCGTGCTGGACCTTGACCCAGTCGGCGAGGAGGTCGTCGTAGCGCGACCTGAGGGCTTTTGGGCCGAGGGCGGGCGCAAACGAGGGCAGCATCAGCTCGTCGAAGGACGTGAGGCTGGTGAAGCTGACGTTGCTGCCCCTCCTCTGCCGCGACCTCCAGTCGAGCATCTCCTTGTCGACGATCGACGAGTCCGGGTCCTGGTCCTCGGGCGGGCCGCCCACCTCGGCCATCCTGACTTCGAGTTGCTGCATCGATCTCGAGACGGTCTCGAGCTTCTCGTCGAGCTGCATCAAGGCCATGTCGAGGTCGCCGGCAGGAACGTCCTCGGCGCCACCGTTGCCTCTGCCGCCGCCGCCGCCGCCGCCATTGGTGCCCGCCCCGTGCGAGCCTGTCGAAGAGGAGCCGGAGGAGCCCGATCGGGAGCGCGGGTCGGCCAGCACGGCGGCTGCGTCCCCGCCAAACCCGCTCGAGTGGCGCTTCTCTTGCACGACGAAGATGTGGCGGCGGACGTCCTCGATGGCCTGTTTCGCATCCTCGATCTCCTCGGCGGTCTCCGTCATCGATGCCTCCTCCCTGTCATCGGCACCGAAGCCCGAGGCCACCCGCCTGGGAGAGTCGTGGTTCGATGGCATCCACGCCGAGGTCGAGGCCAGGGGCGTTTGGCCCCCATCCCCTGTGGGGTTAGGCTGGGAGAGCGAGGTCGATCCCTTGCTGTGCTCGTCTCCGTTGGCCGTGGCGCTGGTGTCGCCGTCGTCGGCAAGGCTGAGCCCGGCGATGGTCTCGGCAAGGTCCGAGGCGGAAGTTGGCAGGCCGGGTTTCGTCGGCGATGCGATGGACGAGGAACGAGGCGGTACTGCAGAGATGCTGGTGTTGAGCGCGACGGACGATGAGCGCGAAGGTATGCTGCTCGGCAGGGAGAGCAGGGAGAGGTAAAAGCCCATCAGAAGGTCGGCGTCGACGCTTGGGCAGTTTACATGGCACTCGGCACAGATCCGCCGGGCCGAACTCACGAGAGTACGCTGTTGGTGCTGAGGATGCTGCTGGAGCGTTTGTGCGCGGCGTGGCTCGAAGCCGGGGCTCGAGACGATGTGGGCGAGCCGACATCGCCTTCGCCCTGAGCACCGTTTAGCTCACCCATCACCATCCTATGGCGATCGGCGTAGCTGTCGGGTCGAGTAATCTAGGTGCGTAACCCAGGGATCCAAATCGAGACGTTGTCCGGCGGCAGTATGGCCATGGTACGGTGGCCGTTGGCCGAGACGGGCTGCCCGCCTGATGGAGCCCTGTTGGGTCTCGAGGCGAGCTCTACGTGGGTGCGCTCTAGCTAGTCAGGCTCGATGAGCGTTGTGCGGGGGTCGAGGCTAGACTGTGTCGACACGGCTGAATCTGTCCGCTGTGATGGTGAAATGGCGCTGGCTCTAGGGGCGACGGGCAGCAGACGATGATGCCGATGGCGGGCAGTTAAGCAGTAATGGCTGGCTGGGATGGGGACCAAGACGGGGCGGGACGAGGGTGACGACAGGACGGTGGAGATTGCGAGGAAGACTGAAGCCAGGTCGACAGCGAGACCAACACCTGAGCCAGAGCCATGGGCCAGCCAGGTCAGGTCAGGCCAGGTCGGGCCCTAGCCTCTGAGCTGCGCCTGCCTGCCTGCCTGCCTGCAGTAGTGTTAACCACTCGGGACGCGCGCGCGAGCGTGGGCCTCCTTCCTGCACGGCAGGCCAGGCCTCCGAGGGGGCCCATGCACCATGCCGTATTGGCAGGCCCAGCCCACCTGCAGGCCTCTCGCGACCACCAGCTCCTTGGCCAGCTGCACCCGTCCATCCGTCTTGCTTGTACGGCTCGCACCGCTGCACACGGCAGCCAACGGGCGCGCCAATATGGCTCAGCACCCGAGCACCGACGACCGCTTCACGGGCGCCCGGCCAGGCAGCCGCCAGACTTTGGCGCCGAGCTTCGGCCTCGAGCATCACCTCGAGCCAGCCAGCCATCTTCGATGCAGCCACCCCGTCGGCGCAGCGCCTCGAGGCAGGCAGGGAGCAGACCTTCTTGAGACGAGCCCCAAGAGCCTCGATCCGGCAACGACATAGCCACGCGCGCGCCTTCACATCAATATCAATCGCAAAAACAGCGAGGGTGGAAAAGCCGTATCGGATCCAGCCTGGAACGAGGTGCCGTCGAGCGGGTTCACCTCCGACTCTCTGCAGCGGTTAGCGGGGGCGAGTCGGAGCCTCTCTCGGCCCGGACAGCGGCATTGGTAGTGGACGATAGAGAGGCCGCAGTGCGGATGGCTAGGAGCGAAAGCATTCGGGATGGAAGGCTAAGAGGGTGGTGCCGTCTGGCTGGTCGTCGTGTGGCTCGCTCGCTCAGGCGGGCCAAGGCCGGGCGATCCTCGGGTGCGGTTGGGCGTCCCTCACGCCTTCTGCAGGTTGCGGTGGAGATCTGCCTTGACGTCAATGATCCGATCCAGCAGCTTCTTGACCACGGCCTCTTGGTTGGACTTGTACGCCGACTCGAGCTCCTTGATCTTGTCCTCAGTCTCCTTGTCCACGGCCGTCTGCGAGCTCGACTGCGACCCTTCGTACTGGATGGCGTGCACGGGCAAGAGTCAAGGCAGGTGGCAGGGAGTAGACGACGTCAGCACAGAGATGCGGGCCGGGCTACTTTGGCCTTGCTGACGTCGCGCGACGACTGGTGGACCAACTCCTCCTTGTGCGGGCGATGCGAGGCCGAGATGCGCCACTACTCACCTCCTTCTTGTAGTTCTGGAACTCGGTCTCCTTCTTGGACTTGAGGTCGTCAATCTCCTTTGCCGCCTCGCTCCTGGCGTCCTTGAGCTTCTGAGTGCGGTCTGGCGTTGTTTGTCGCGAGACAGCCGGGGAGGGGCGTGGATCCACGGCGAGTCAGATAGGCCGCTTCCGTCATGTCGGGGCAGGGGATGGGCCGGAAAAAGCGATCTTCGGGTGAAGGAGGCAAGACCATCGCGGCGCGACTCACAGGTCCTGGCCTTCTGAACAATCTTTGCGGCCTCCTTTTCAGCCTCGAGGAGCGTCTGGATGCCTTGTGACTGCTGTGCGGCCTGTTGCGGTCAGGGTGCCAGAGCGAAGGAGCATGGCGAGGCAAGACAAGGGTCAGCAAGGAATCATCAGGGCTGGGCTGCGGGGCGACAGTGTTTGCGACGCACCATGTTTGCGGCTGTGTTCGGTGCGAGGGCGGTGCGTGAGTCGAAGTTCAAGGCAAGGCTGAGTCCAGAAGGGATGCAGGTGTGGCGCGAGGGAAGAGAGAGAGGCGATGAGAGGCGTGGTTGTTGGAGTCGAGAGCCGTGGTGAGGAGAGGTGACGGGATGGGATGGGTGTGGGTGGCAGCTTGGCTCTGGCTTGGATGAGCGGTGGCCCCTGTCGAGCTGCCCAGCTCCACGCACGGGCTCGCAGCCGCCCTGCCCTGGCCTGGCCTGGCCGTCTCTCTCTCTATGACCTGTCTGGCGTCAGCCAAAGGCCAAGGCGGCGGGACCTGCCTGGCCCAGAGAGAGAGGCAGGTGCCTCGTGCGCCGGTGGGGCCCTCGGTCTGATCGCGCATCGAGTCTCATTCAAAACGAAGAGTGGATCTCCTTTTGCACGCCTCTGTAGTGGCAATCAAGGGCACCAGCGTCCCTTTTGATTTGGATGCGCAGCCCGGCCCTCGAGAGGCTGGGCTGGACTGGGCTGGGCTGGGCTGGGCCGCTCGCGTGCGCTGCTGCAAAAGGAAGGCAGGCAGGCAGGCTGGCTTGAAGGGTTGCGCCGAACGACACCAGCCCCAGCAGCCAAAGGGCACCTCGCCGACAGCTTGGCTTCTTCTCACCTCTCTCCGCTCGCCATCCTATTCCACCCCTCACCAACCCAGCCTGCTCTGCGCCCCCGCTCACACCTTACCTCACCAGATCCATGCCGCCTCAGCTCGGCGCCGCTCTCGACTGACCCGGATTCGGACTTGCACCAGTCGGCCAATCTCGAGCAGACGCGCCGCCGGCCTCGGTTCCACCATCCTCGTGCCATTCCCGACCGCCCCGTCTTCCGCTGGTACATCATCGCTCCCAACTGCTCGACGGCGAGACCACCGGGCAACGACTTCGCTCGGAGGACTCTTCTCCTCGCCCCTCTGCAGAGAGGACGCCTTCGCTTCTGCTGGCATCGAGACAGAACGTCGGCCGTCACCCTCTCCACCTCGCCGGCCCGCCCGGACAACGAGCAGAGGCCTCCTGCCCTAGACCTCACCCGACCCGGACGGCGGACGGCCATACGCACCATCCGGCATGGCTTCTCCATCCTCGACCGATGCCCTTGGCCTGCTTAGCGCCGCCCTCTCGGCCAGGACACCCGACGCAGAGTCCAAGGCGCTCTCGGAGCTCTACTCGGTCCTCAAGTCGCAGCCAGGAAACATACCCATCCTTTTGCCCAGCCTAGTCGGCCTCCTCTCGCGCGCCGGACCCTCTCTCAAGAGCTGGATCGCCGAAGTCATCGACCTCACCTTCTGCCGACCCATCCTCTCGCCCGACGCAAAGCATGCGCTCTCGGTCCACCTCCCCGAAGCGCTCCTCACGCTCCTCCGCGAGGGAGACCGAAAGCTCTCCAAGATCGCCGTACAGACCTTTGCCAGCGCCTACCCCTCCCTCTTCCGCATCGCATGCCAGGACCGCTCCAAACAGGCGCTCTGGAAGTCGACCGAGGCTGTGCGCGCCCAGGTCGTCCGACTGTTTGACAGCGGCAGCCCGGGCGTGCGCATCGCCGCCATCAAGTGCTTCCAGCGCATCATTCAGGTCCATAGCCGCGGCGCAGGCGATCCGCGCGCCTCGCAGGCCAAGGCCGACGCCAACCTGTCGCTGGTGCCTCCGTGGCACGCCTACATCAGCGTCGGCCAGCTCGAGGAGGAGGGCAACCGCCTGCTCAAGCAGATCGTCACCCTCGTCTTTACCAGCTCGTCGCCGGACCTGGTGATGGCCACCCTCAACGCCATGGCGGCGCTCGCAAAGACCCGGCCGCAGCTGTCCAACATCGTGCTCGAGGCGCTCGCCAGCTGGACGCCCGCGGCACTCGCATCGCTCTCGCACACCCAGGTACGCAACGTCGAAAAGACGGTCAGGATCCTCTACTTTCACTTCCTCCGCAACAACCTCGCCGGAGCCCACTCGGCCGCCCTGCAAAAGGCGCTGCAGACGCAGAAGAAGAGGATGGAGGATGCCGCTCGCGAGTACATTGAGCGCAAGGAGGCCGAGGCCAAGCGGAAGCGCGACACAATCGCCGACGAGCTCAACCAGTCAAAGCGGATCAAGACCGAGCTCGGCGCCAGCTTCGCCCAGCCCGGCAGCGTTCAGGCCGTGGGCGGCGCAGAGGCGTTCCGCGACGCCTCGGTCCGGGGCAATGGCGATGCGACGGCCAACCCGCTGGCCTCGTTCGACGTCACGACGCTGCCCGTGCCTCTCGTCGTCGAGCTCATCATCGCTCAGATGCAGGCACTGACCGATGTCGACCTGCAGGCAGCAATCGCCCGGATCCGCGACAATCTCGGGGCGGGAGGCTTCCCCCAGATCAACACGGGCCCGGGCCCAGCCCCAGGTCCACCACCACCTCCCCCACCACAGCAGCAGCAGCAGCAGCAGCAGCAGCATCCACGACCGCCGGGCGCTCCGCCACCGCCGCCACCGTCGCACATGTTCGGGACAGCTCCGCAGCCGACGCAGATCAAGACCGAGACGGGCCTGGCCTCCGATGTGGGTCCGGGCCTGGACCAGCAGGACGAGGCAGAGGAGGAAGCGGTTGTGCAGGATCCGCTGAAGATGGACGTCGGCGAGGACGAGGAGCTGGCCGACCTAGTGTCGCCGCCGCGGTCACCGGAGGCAGAAGCGCAAGACGAGCAGGACATCGACGACATGGCGCTGGTGGCACTCGACAACTTTGTGCTTGCGCCGCCAGAGTACCTGACGCCGCAGGAGTCTGACCTGCTGATCAAGGATGCCGTGGCCAAGATCCGCGACATCGGCCACGAAGCCTCGCTGGCGGGCGTCGTAGCAAAGGCGGATGGCGGCGGCGCCGGTCGCGGCACCGAGATGCAGAATGCGCTGTGGGCCACGCTGATTGTGAGGCTGGCCACTCGCGGCCTGGCGGAGCAGACGTCCGAAGGCGCGGACGCCGAGGCGAGCCCGTCGGGTTCAGAGCAGCGCCAGCTCGACCTGTCTGGCAAGACGCTCACCTCGCACGCCGACGCCATCCGCGCCATGATGCTCGACTTCATCCATGGCGACTTTGCAAACCGCGTCGGGTTCGCCATCTCGTGGTTGGCCGAAGAGTGGCACTGCGACCGGATCCGACGGCGCCGGGGCCAGCCGGAGCAATATTCGCGCTGGTTGGAGCGCATCATGGACGTTTGGGTGCCTCAGATCGACGGCAAGGACCGGTCGCTGGCGGCGTTCCTATCGGACCTGCCAGAGATTCCGCGCTCGGTGATCGACAAGGTGGCCAAGCTGTGCCGGGACAAGAACCGGATGGCGACCGGCATGTCGACCTTGCAAGACATCTGGCTGACGCGGCCCCCGGTGCGCAAAGAGGCGGGCGACCGGCTGCTGCAGATGACCCGCTCGCCCGACAAGACGATGCGGGCGCGCGCCATCATCTCGGCCAAGCAGAGCTCCGGCCAAAGCGTGGCGCTCGAAGCCGCCGTCCTCGCATTCGCACGAGACTCTCTCGACGTGCTGAAGGCGGCGCCGCCGCCCACGGCGCCAGGGTCGGACTCGGCGACAGGCGACAAGGCCAACGACGCCCAGAACGGTGTCGACGCTACCGCACCGACGGTGCAGGAAGCAGGCAAAGGAACAGGGCCCGAAAAGGACGGCGAGAAAGAGGGGCCGGCGGCGGACGACGAGGAGGCGGCCGCGCCCGGTTATCCCCAGGACGGCGACGACGTGCTACGCTTCGTCGAGCTGCCGCTGTCGTTGTGCACCAAGGTGCCCGACATGCTGGACGAGATCTTTGCAGCGTACCCCAAGATGCCGATGTTTATCCAGGTGGCCATCCACAAGCACATTGTCAACCTGATCCGGGCGCTCGGCCCCAACAATGCGCGGCTGCTGACGCTGCTGCGCAACTTTCCGGAGGGCGCCGATTCGCTGGCGCTGTGCATCTTCAAAATTCTCACCGAAAAGAGCCGGACACCGGCGCTCGTGTCGCTGGTCAAGGAGCTGGTCGACGAGCGCGACGTAGACCCGCGCTTCCTCGTGCCCATCATGCCCGACCTGGACAAAGTGAGTCGGCGTCGGCCGCCCCCCCCCTCCCCCCCCCAAAAAATATGGTTCGGAGGCTTCGGGCCGCCTGCCTCGCTTTGCACTGCACTGCACTGCACAGCACGCTGACGCATTCCGTCATCTCCCCGTCCTCGCAGAACGAGATCATGAAGAAGCTGCCAAAGGTGGTCACGATCCTGTCGAGCAAGGCGCCCGAGGACCGCGCGCTGGTCAAGTCGGTGTTCCAGTCGATTGTCACGACGCCGCCCCAGGGCTTTGGCAGCGTTTCAACCAACCTGCCGCGCGTGCGGCAGACGGAGCTGCTGACGCCCGTCGAGCTCATGGGCCTGTTGCACCGCTCCGAAAAGGAAATCGGGCTCAAGAACACGGGTGCCGCCATCCAGATCTGCTTCTCGATGACCGACGTCTTCCGCAGCGAGGTGCTCGGCGCCGTGCTCAACCAGATCCTCGAGGAGCCCACCCTGCCCGTCATCTTTATGCGCACCGTGAGTGCGGGCCTGCTTGCGGCCACGTCTGCGGGGCTTTGGTGGTGGTCCGAACGACGTCTGACTCCCCTTTCTCCCCTGCGCTTGTTTTCATATCACGACTCTCCCGGGCTCTCCTCTGCAGGTCATCCTGGCCGTGTCGACGTACAAGTCGCTGAGCGGCTACGTGAGCAAGAATCTCCTCTCGCGGCTGATTACAAAGAAGATCTGGCAGAACCCGCCGCTGTGGGACGGCTTCATCATCTGCGCCAAGCTGACGGCGCCGTCGAGCTTCGGCGCGCTGATCCAGCTGCCAAAGGAGCAGCTGCGCGAGGTCGTGGGGCGGCAGCCGGAGCTCAAGACGGGCCTCAAAGAGTACCTCACCAAAAAGGCCGGCGGCAACCGCGCCAGGCTGACGGCCTTTATGGATCTGCTCGGCGGCGACGATGCCCCCACAGCAGCAGCAGCAGCAGCAGCAGAGGGGGGTGCCGCCACGGCGGCGACGCCAGAGGCCGCCGCGACAACTTCCAATGCCAGCCCGAGCGCCGCGGCGACCCCGACGCCGACACCGGCGCCGGCGGCTGCCAACGAAGGCTCTGCGCCACCACCACCGCCGTCGCCGGCAGTGCCGTCGACGACTTTCGAGGCGTAACATGAGACCTCGGCGGAATGCCGCTTTCATCCCCCTCCCGCTCCCCTGCACAATCTCATCTGGCGCCCGCTCGTTTGTCGACGCCGTTCGTCAGTGTTATGCCTGTACCGTTACATCGCACCTTGGCCAGGTCTCTGTGTGCATCCCCGCAGCCAATCCGCACCGTATAACTAGCCAGATTGGAGAGGGCCGAAATCGGAGAGGCAACCTCCGGATAAGACGTCGTGCCTGTGCGTGCACGGGCCTGGCCATAGCTATATATCCCCGAGGCGGGGCGCGCGGCTTCCGGCTGAAAAGATGGAGCCGCTGCCGGTCCTGCATGGGCTGCCGCGCCCCGGGGCCCAGGCCGGAAAAGAGGAAGTGCGGGGAAGCCCTCGCCCGTGTGGCCAGCGACGCCTTCCTGTCCGCTCGCCACCACCATTACCGCCACCGCCACCGCCACCGCCACCGCCACTGCCACTCCACCATCGCCGCCTACCTTCGCCTGTTCCCACCGAATCCAGCACGCTCCCATTCCAACCATGTCGGATCCAAAGGTGAGTCGGGCACTGCACATGCCAGCCCGTCTCTGCCGTCGCAGCCCGCGCTAACCCCGCACGGGCCGAAATCCCCCTCCTACCTGGCACGGTCTTGCACGCACACGACTCGCACAGTCCGGATTTCTGCGCGAAATCTACATCGGCGGTCTGACGGGCCAGCGCCCGCAGACGACGGACCTCAAGCTGCTCGAGCAGCAGGCGCGGGAAAAGCTCAGCCCGGAAGCCTACGCCTACGTCGCGGGCAGCGCCTCGACCGAGACGACGGCGCGCGCCAACCTCGCCGAGTTTGAAAAGTGGGCCATCGGTACGTGCCCCGACCCCTCAAAGTCAACCGCGATGGCTCGTTGAGATGGAAGCGGGCGGACAGGCGGACGGACAGACGGACGGACGAGCGACTGACGCGTTCGCCTCCTTGTGTCCTGCTTCGACTGCCTCGCGGCTGGCCAGTCCCTCGGATGCTCCGCTCGACGACCCTGGCCGACTTTACCTCGCCCACGCGCCTCTTTGGCCGCGACTACCCGACGCCGCTCATCATCGCGCCCATGGGCGTCCAGGCGCAGCTGCACCCACAGGCCGACATCGCCACCGCCTCTGCCGCCGCCGAGCTCCAGATCCCCTACACGCACTCGTCTGCCGCCTCGCGGCCGCTCGAGGCCGTCTACGAGCAGGCACGCTTCGAGGAAAACGAGTCCGACGCCTGGTTCCAGCTCTACTGGCCCACCGACGACGAGCTGACCGAGAGCCTGCTGAAGCGCGCCAAGAAGGCCGGCTACCGCGTCCTCGTCGTTACCCTCGACACCTGGCAGCTCGGATGGAGGCCGCGCGACCTCGACCAGGCCTACAACCCCTTTCTCACCGGCGAGGGCGTCGCAAACGTCTTTTCGGACCCCGTCTTCGTGGAAAAGTACTGCGATGGCAAGGTGAGAAGAAGGTGTGCGGCAGGAGATGGTTCGTTTGGCAGTTGCTCGCTCATCTGGTCTGGTCTGACTGACATCGAACCCCATGTGGTCCGCCTTGGTCCGCCTCGGCTTTCGGCAGTCGCCCCTCGCTCCCACGGCGACGAAAGACGACATCACGTCAGCGTCGGTGGCCGCCATCTCGCAGCTCTCGCCGGGCGTCTCGCGCTCCTGGTCCGAGCTGGCGCTGCTGCGCAAGCTGTGGGGCGACGGGCCCATCGTCCTCAAGGGCATCCAGTCGGTTCCGGACGCCGCCCGCGCCATCCAGGCGGGCATGGACGGCGTGTGGGTCTCGAACCACGGCGGCCGGCAGGTCGATGGCGCAGTCGCGTCGCTGCGCCAGCTCCACTCCATCTCGGAGTACGTGCGCGGCATCGAGGTCGAAGAGGGCAAGGAGAGACCCACCGTCATCTTTGACAGCGGGGTTCGCACCGGCGCCAACGTCATGGTCGCGCTGTGTGAGTGTCGTCCTCGGTCCCCGCTCCACCCCCATCCCTTCGCTGCCTCCGCACTGTGGCGACGCCAGCTTATGCTTTCTTTTCCACCGTCCCTCGCCATGCCCATCGCGACGACGTCCTGCTCCGCGCCCGAACGCAGGCCTCGGCGCGGACGCCGTCGCCGTCGGACGACCCTGGGCGTGGGGACTGGCCGTCAACGGCCAAGAGGGCGTCACGTCGGTGCTCAAGACGATCCTGGCCGACTTTGAGCTCAACAGCGCCCTGGCGGGGTTCCAGAGCTCGACGCAGTTCTCCAAGGCCGCCCTGGTCCGTACCGACGCGCCGCTCTAGAGACGTCAGCGCACAGACTTGGCCTCGCCTCGCCTCGGTGCCTTTGCTCCGTTTGCTCTCCACGCGCCCTGTCCGCGGGGACGACTGGAAGGATTAACCATGTTTCACAGCGCCAGCGCGCGTCCGATGCGGAAGAGGATCTTTTCGCACCCCCACTGCGACGTGGCAGTGACGCCGACGGGCCAGCCGTCGTCCTCTGCCTCGCCGACGGGCAGGCTGATGGCCGGTAGCCCTGCCAGGCTGGCGGGGACGGTAAGGACGTCCTGGACGTACGACGAGAGGATCCTGTCCTGCCTCTCTTGGGCCGTCCCCGCCCTCGGCCCGAATCCGAGGGCCGATGCGAGGGTAGGTGCGGTATCGACAGCCGAGGGGTGGAGGAGCACATCGACGCCGTCCTTGTCCTTGTCCGCCGACAACGGCGAGGCCGCAACGCCGTGCCCGAGGACGCTGGGGATGCGCAGCGACGTGGCAAAGTCGCGCTGGATCTCGCGCCGGATGCGACCGGCCTGGAGAAAGTAGTTGTCAAACTTGTCCGCCGACAGCGCATACGTGCCCAGCAGGATGCGCCGCTGCACCTCGGCGCCGAAGCCTTGGCTGCGCGTTCGCGCGTACGGATGCTGCTGCTCCTGCTGCGGCGATTGACCTTCGACAGCGGAGGCGCGGTATCCGTACTCGACGCCGTCGTAGCGCGCCAGGTTGCTGCTGGCCTCGGCCGACGAGATGACGTAGTAGGCGCTCAGGGCGTAGGGCGTGGTGGGGAGGCTGACCGAGACGATGTGGGCGCCCTGCTCGCGCAGCCTGTGCACGGCGGCACGGAAGGGTGCCAGGACGCGCGGGTGCAGCTCGCGCGGGAAGTACTCACGCGGGATGCCGATGCGCAGGCCCTCGACGACCCCGCCTCCGTTTGTCGTCGAGGACGAGGCGACGTCGAGGGCTGCAGCGACGGCACCCTCGGCGCGTCTTCGGGCGCTTGCGTCGACGCAGGTCGGGTCGCGCGCGTCCGGGGCGGAGAGTACGTCGAATGCGGCCTCGACGTCGTCGATGCCGCTGCCCAACACGCCGACCGTGTCGAGGCTGTCGGCGTACGAGACCAGACCCCAACGGCTGACGAGGCCGTACGAGGGCTTGAGCCCGACCACTCCGCAGTAGGCGGCGGGGAGTCGGATCGAACCGCCCGTGTCGGTGCCGATGGCTCTGTCCGAACGAGGAGTTGGTGTGAAGCGCAGTCGCGGTGGGGCGTGGCTGGAGATGAGAGTGCGGTTCGGGGGGTCGGAGAGCAGGGCAGGCAGGCAAGCACGACAGACAGACTCACATTCTCGCCAGCCCAGCCTTGACAGCCGCCGCCGAGCCTCCAGAACTGCCACCCGCCACCCTCTCGCGTTCGAGATCCCACGCCGCCGCCGCCGCCGGCTCGGGTCGCGGTGCGGCATCGCGGACCGCCTTGGCCGGGTTGCGCACGGGGCCGTGGAACGAGTGCACGTTTTCGGAGCCCATGCCGAACTCGTCGCAGTTGGTCTTTGCGGCGATGGTGGCGCCCGCGTTGCGGAGGCGGTGGACGCACGCGGCGTCAAAGGTGGACGCGTAGTCGCTCAGCATGCGGCTGGAGCACGTCGTCGCGGCGCCGAGCACGCAGATGTTTTCCTTGACCGCCACGTCCCACCCGGCCAGCGGGCGGCCGTCTCGAGGCGTGCGGGCGGCATCGCCCGCAGAGGCGGTGGTGGGAAGGCGGGAGGTGATGCAGTTGTATGGGTCGAATGGTCCGTCGCTGAGATGGGGTGGTGATGCCGCTGATGCCGCCGCCGTTGCCGATGTCAATGCAGAGGAGGTGGTGGACGCGGTGCGAGAGGAGCTCGCGAGGCGTGATGGCGGTCTGGACCTTGAGCCCGCGCCTGCGACCATGAGCGAGGCCGTCATCCGCGCCGAGGCGGTGGCGGAGCGTATGGTCGTGTGAGGCATCGGTGAATCGCCGTGGCCCCAAGGGGTGATATAGGGTGTTGGTCGAGAGACAGATGGAGCCCTTCGACATCAAACCTTCTTCTTCATGTTCGGCCCGCGGCCGCCGGAGCAGCCCGACGGGTCAATGTGGAGAAGAAGGGACCGCCTCGGAGCCGAGCTTCGTCCTGGCGTGCCCCTTTTGCCGCCATTTTGCAGGCAAATTTCCGCACGCTTTTCCCAGCGCCCACGCCACCGTCGAGCACACCTGACGACTTCCCTCTTTCCACCCCCGCCGCCATACCAGTCGCGGCAAGCAGAGAAACGGGCCGCCACAGAGCTGCTTGCGACGCCCAGCCAGGTCGACTCGATCTCCGCTCCTTGTCGTCTTCCAGACCTTGTGCCCTGCCATCAAAGCTCCGCTAGGTCATGCACCGTCTCGACCTGGATATTAGGGCTAGGCACGCTGGCCGAGGCCGTGGGAAGCAGGACGGAGCGGGCGTTGGTGGCGACCTCCTCGAACCAACATCCACGAGCCAGTCCTCCATCTTCGCGCGGCGAGGCTACGGTAGCCCGCAATCTTCCTATACCGGTACGGTACCGAGCCTTCCTGCCTGCCCATTCCGGCCTCGGGCGCTGGTGGCAGACACCCGGCCTGCTGATCCGCTGCAGGGACCTCGAGCGCACGCCGGCAGAACCTGTTTGCCGAGAATTCTCCTCGATGGTCACGGCCAAGCACCACCACCAGCTCCGCCTGGCCAGGCCTGCCCTGTCGGTACCGCCGGCTGGCCTGCCATTCCATACCGCAAGTAGCCGCCTGCCTCGCCATGCCACGCCACGCCACGCCTTGGCACTGGTCAACCCCACCAGTCCTTGCCCTCTTCGCCGACATGGCATCGCCTGTCTCAGCTGTCGAAGCACAGAGGAGACCTCTGGCGCGATACAGTGAAGCAGGCCAGGCCCGCCCCGCTGTCCTCTGCTGCCATCGCCATCGATCCGGGCCGAACAGACTCTGCCCTGTCCCCTGACCGCCTGGCATCGACATGCCGAGCGCCGACCCGACTCACCTCTCTTTCAGACAGCAAGCCGCTCCCAGCTAGCCATCGCTTCCGTGCAGATCGGAGATCCTCGCATTCCCTATAGCGCCGCTGCCGCCGCCGCCGTCGCCAGGCCGCATGAAGCCGGCCGCGAGCTCAGATGCCAGACGCCAGACCCGCACGCTTGCCCGAAGGCTAACTACTCTAACCCTGACACTGACTGCACCCTCTGGCCACGCACTCGTGGTGAAAAAGCTTGCTGGAGCTTCTTGACCCGCCGATGTCGAGCGAGAAAGAGCAAAGGCCGGTCCCCTCTCTATAGGCGAAACGCGGCCGCCTCTACCACTCTCATCGACTCTGGACATCGGATTGCCGCCTCGTCATTCAAGCTCTCCAGTCGGGAGGTCAGCTGCATCGAGGGTCAGGTCCGTGTGAGTACCGCACCTGCTGACTTTGCTCCCCTCTTGCACTCGACTCGATGCAGTCGACATGCAACACGGCTGGAGTTGGGCCTGCAATGTCGATCGCTACGGAACAATCACAAACAGGTCGGCGTGCGGCCGTTGTACCGTACCATACTCCCTACCGCGCGGCAAAGTGTCCGCCGGGGAGCCTACGGCTCCGGCACCTGCCGGTGTCCCGTGCCGTCCGCATAGATAGGTCGGCCTTTGAGCTGAAACAGCAGGCCTGGATACCGGTATCGACGCTAGCGTACTAAACCCAAGACCGTGCCTGCCGCGGCCAGCAGGGCGACCCGACTTCGGCCCCGAGCAGAGACGAACGTCGAGGAAGCCACACCCACGTCCACGTCTGCCCTCGCTCGACAGGCGACTCCATGTGATCTGGGCAGGTTGTAGGGGCCTTCCACCTCGGCAAGGGCTCTCTGGCCGCTCCGCGAGCATCGAGATCCCTCGACTCTGCTCGAAGAAAGCAGCCTCCTCCGACGCCAAGCTGCGCTGGGCTCGATCGGCCCTCGTCTCTGTCCGCCACGTCAGCGACCGGAACGGAATCACAGGTGGAGCCCGCCACGATCTTGGCGGACCTTCTTCACCGGGTCGCAGAGCAAACGCTAGCGCCAGCGCTACGAGTCCCCTGTCCTGGAATGGGTGAGAAGTGGCGATGGCGAGTGCGCCACGGCCCACGATGCTCTCACACTCCCCCGGCCCCCGCTCCGTTCGATCGCGAGTCGGAAAAGGTGACAACACGATCAGCCAGGAGAAGAGCCTGCTTGGCGCATCGACAGCCTTCTTCCTCTGCTAGTGAGCATGATCAAAGAGGCGGCCTCCGACCGAGGATAGACGCCGCACGCCGGTGTCTAGGTGCCGGAGCCGGAAGAAGAAGCCAACATGGACTTGGTCGGCCGACCTGCCTTTGCCTATCCTCAGAGGTTGAAAGGAGAACAATGGCGAACGATTGGAGGGTACAGCAGGCTGCGAGGGTGAGTGAGGACCGGTGCACGCCGACTGGCGAACAGGCGCGGTTGTCGCGTTCCGCCGCAATCGAGAAGCAGGCAGCCCACACCCAGGCAGCATGGCTCATCGTCCGTCGCCATCGTGGCCGCCTGCCTTGCCGGACCAAAGTTTTGCCAACCTCTGTGCCATGCCACCGGTCGAGAGGCCCCCGGTGACTTCTTTTTTCCTTGAAGGCTTCGGCCTTGTTTGTCTGTTTGCTGGCGGCGTTCGGCACAGTCAGGCCTGAGTGAGAGCATCTGTAAGATCAGGTGGAGGGTACGCCACACACACACACGAGGTGGAGGAGGAGTCTCCTTTGCTTGGTTGCCGAATAAGTACTGTAGGTTTGCGGTGGCGAGGCGGCGGTGGAGAGGCAGGCCTGGCGGGCTGACACGACGATGTGGTGCGAGGCGGCGCGAGGCGGTCAGAGCCAGACGAGCTGACGTGGTGCTCGCTCGCTGGCGCTGGCGAGCCAAGTCGCGCCAGGGCCAGCAGGTCCATCGGAACATTTTCAGACCCCGCTTGCGGTCGGCGCCGCTGTCGATGCGGCCAAGCTGCAGGTGGCGGGGGCAGGGCAGGGGTAGGGCGGGCAGGGCAGGCCTGGCCGGGCGGCTGAACGGAGCAGCGCTTGCTTGCTTGCTTGCTAAGGATCCGGCAAGCAAGCAGCGCGCGGCAGGCAGGGGAGATCTCAGACACGCGGAGGCAGGTCCCGCGGCCAGCCAGCGCCGCCTGCCGGTCTGCGTTGCGCCCGCGACCCACCGGACGGCTTCTGGTCGCCTTGCCGCGACCATCGGGCCCGCTGCGGCCGCAAGCGCCCTCTGCCCGTTGGCGCGCCGGCCTTTGGACATCGAAGCTGGCAGGCGAGCCAGCGCGCGAGTCAGGCCTGGCGGCTCTGCCCATCGCCCGCGGCCGCTGCGCAGAGTGGCACGCAGACGAGCGATCCCCGGGGAACGACTCGGCCTGCCTCCATGTATGCCGCTTCTTTGCTTCCTCTGCCCATCCGCCTGCAAACGTGCCTGCCTGGCTTGCCCCCTGGTTTTTGCCACCCGGTCCATCGCCTTCAAGCCATTTTCAACAAAACCACGGCGGCCCCCGGCCACTGCTCGCCCTTCTGCCCCCCCTTTACGCCCTCGAGCACCCCTCACCCACCCACACGCACAGAGCACCCCTCCCTTCATTGCCCTCGCTCAGCCTTATCGCACCATCCTGCCTTCTCACCACCACCCGACCATCGCGACCACTTGACAGTTCCGTCACCCTTATCCTCGCCGTCACCTCGTTTGCACCCGCCTACGTCGACCCATCCACCTCTTCCACCCCAATCCCCCTCTCTTCGCACCCAATCCACCCGACTCTGCCACCTGCAGCAGCCAGTCAGCACACACACCGCATCGCACTTGGAAGCATACTAGCTTTCACTGCACTGCGGACGACCACGTCCACTTTCCCCGAGGCGCTCCTCGCGCTTCCCGCAGTCGCCGCCCCTCTTCAAGGGCGCGCGGCATAGCGCGGTCCAGTCCACACCACCGGCTGTCCACGACCGCCGCAGCCACTTCCATCGTGTTGGCCTCAACCCGGGCTTAGCTTCTCGCATACCCCCACCCGGGTCACCACCCTCATCGACCTCTAACCCCGCTCCAGCGTCCATAAGCGTCGTCCCGTAGGCTACGACCCCGACCTGAGCATCTGCCTCTTCAAAGCGCACCACTCTGCGCGTCCACCCCATCATCTCGCACCACTCTGCGACTCTCCATCACTCTCAACGCGATCCCCCGCACACATACACCGCTCACCGCACCCGCAGCTACGCACCTTCAACCATCGCCAGCCGACCCTTGGTCGTCTATTCCATCAAATCGACCCCATATCTTACCTTCGAGCGACTCGACTCGATCACCTCAATCGACGGCCCCACAACTCTTGCCGCCGCCTGCACCGCACCGCACTTACCCTGCCGTGCAGCCTCCCCCGAACATCGAACCTCTTCCCTCGATCCTCACCCGCTGTGCGGATCCAAGCTTCAACCTGCCCATGTCTTTTGGAAACGTCAAGGGAGCCGTCACCCACGCCAAGGGAAGCCGGACGCTCTCGCCGACCTCCGCCGCCCAGCCGTCGACCAACTCGCTCCGCATCCTCCTCGTCGACGACAACCAAATCAACCTCTCGGTCCTCAGCACTCTGCTCAAGCGCCGCTTTGGGCATGTCCTCGCCAGCTCCCCCGTCGCGCTCGACAGCGGCCTGAAGGCGCTCCAGCTGCTGCGCACCGAGGTGTTTGACCTCGTCTTCATGGACATCGAGATGCCCTACCTCGACGGTGTCGAGTGCGCCCGCCGCATCCGCGCCGGCGAGGACGGCGTGCTGGAGGCCAACCGCGACGCCCACATTGTCGCCGTCACCACCAACATCGGCGACGAGCCCGAGGCCCTCTACCGCTCTGTCGGCATGGACGGCATGATTGGCAAACCGGTCCGCTTCGACCAGTTCCAGCAGTACCTGTGCCCGCTCGCCATCCAGGCGCAGGAGGCTCGCACCACCATCGCACCCGTGTGGATCGGCGACAAGGACGTCATGCCGCCGCTACCGCCCGTTGGCGCACGCCCTCGCCTCTTCTTCAAGCCCAGCGTGGTGCCCGGCGCGCCCATCCCCAAGATGAGCCGACTCGATTCGCAGGAGGGTGTCCTGGGCGACAGCTTTGCCGAGATGCTCAAGGCGCAGACGCGCGCCTCGCTGCGCGACCGCCGCGCCATGTTCCTCGCCCGGACTGGCACCGTGACCGAGCCTCGCCGGTCCTCGTTCAACGAGCGCCGCGAGCAGCTGGCCCGGCAGACGATCCGCGAGATCGCCACCAGTCCCGAGCGCAACGAGCTCACGTTCCAGGCGCTCATCGACCAGGAGGCCATGGCGCCCCACTCGTCGGCCTCGAGCGCCAGCGGCCGGTCGTGCTCGTTCAACGCACGCCCGGCCGTCTATCACCGCTTCAGCTCGCCCGCCTATCTCCTCGATGCGTCGCCGGTCGCCAAGCTCAAGACAGACCCCGCCGCTCGCTCGACGCCCAACCTGGTCCGCACGACGCGGAGCCCGACGCGGCCCGGCATCCGCCCGCTGGTCGGGTCGACGTCGTCCAAGTCTCAGAGCCGGCAGTCGGACGAGGCCAGCCCCTACAGCTCTGAGACGTCGAGCCGGCTCGGCGGCAGCAGCCTCTTTTCGGGCCTGTCGCAGCTACGCAGGCTGAGCGACGATGGCACCGCCTCTTCGTCGCTGACCACGCCGCAGTCGTCGCCCAGGGAGACGGAGCGCTTCTTTTCGCCCGAGGAGCTTGGCGATGCCGTCTTTAGCCCGTGCGAGGACGACCTGCACTCGGTCTTTCTGCGGGTCCCCTCTTCGGACCTGGACCTGCTGCCCCTCAAGCATCGGCGCGACGAGCTGATCCTTGGCAGCGAAAACGCAGGTGTCGACAGCGCCGACGCTGCTGCCGCCGCCGCGATCAACCGCCTTGCCCTGGTCGAGGCGAAGGGTCACGGCATGCCTTGCTCGATGGCCGACCCCCGGTCACCGGTCCCGACCACCTGTGCCAGCTGGTAGGTGATGAGCCGACGGTCGAGCTCATCAGCCTCCCAGACTTCCCACCAATCGACATCCAGGTACGAGCGTCATACCCTCCGCCAGAGGTTGCGACGCCTTCATACCCACTTCCCAGCCTCTCTTCCCGCCTCTTGATCAACACCGGCCTGAGTCCGAGCCGGAAGCCACGCCTCCGGACCCCGCCCTTCTACCACCCCGCCGCACGGCATCTCCAGCCCAAGGAACGACCCGCCGCTTGCCAGCCACTCTCTCACCGATATACACGCTTTTACGACGAGCTGCCAACCAGCCAACTGCTTCTTTTTGGGTCGATTCGCCGTCACCGTTTCCTTGTCTCATCCGGGCACTCCTTCGTCAATTCTGCTTCTCTGTCGCATCTATCCTTGGGCTCATTGTTTTATTCCGGATCCACACTTTCCGCGCCGGCCTCTCTGGCTCTCCGTCTTCCTTGCTCTCTTGCTCGGCCCTCCTGCTCTCGTATCTTCATTCTGGTCCTCTGCTCGCCATCGGGTCTCTTTCGGTCTCTGGTCCTATCTCGTCATCGTCTCGTTGGGTATCTAGGTCTTTCCTCGTCAATCTCTCTTGTTGTTCGTCTTCCTGCCATCACCACCACCCCCTCCTCACCTCATGTGGACGACATCATGCATAGGCCCATAGTGCTGCCTCCTTCAAGAAAAATCCAATACCCATCACGATTGCTTCTTTCCATCCTCCCGCCCGTCTTGTGCTGCGAGATCGATCGGTGGCGAGGAAGAGGGAAATGGCCGGGGCCGCAGGTCAGGGGGCGTAGGTAGGTGCGTCGCTCAGTCGCCGCTGGCCCTGGACCGTAGCGGCATCAACGCGGCCCGACCGACCGAACCGCCCCCTATCCGCCTGTTCGCGATCAGATACCGAGTGGCTGAAGAAAGGGCGAGCGGGACTGGCCAGACCGGGCCAGGCGAGACGGGGCCCGGTCAGTGACGCGTCCTGTGGAATAGGGGGCCGCCCACTGCTCCTGTCTCAGCCCATCGCCAGCCCCGCCTCTGCCCATCGAGGGGTTTGTTCCGACCCTTGACGAAGGGCTCGCTAGGCTCCATCAACAGCGCAGCGCTGCCACCGTGATTCGGATCGCCCGCCCCACGATCGGCGCGGGCAAAGAGGGACGGTCGTCGGATGGCGGGCAGGGCATGGCATGGCATGGTCGAGGCGGCGCCAAACCGGGTGGGCAAGCTCGGATCCGAAGAGCGGGAGTGGTGGCGCGGGGGGTCGGGTGCGACGACCGAGGTGGTCCGTGGGCCATTATTGCGCAGGGGCCCTGCTTGCCTGCCCTGCCTAGGCAAGGCGCGCGGGCAAGCAGGGGCGACCTCCTGGGCGGAAATTCCAGGCAGAGTAAGAGTGGGCGGGCGCGCCAAACACACAGCAGGCGGTCGTCGCTGGTTCCAGCGAACAGGCCAGGCCAGCGGTCGGGCCTGAGTCAAACACAAGCAAGCAGCGCAGGCAGGCGGGCAGCTCACCACCGAGGTGCGCGCGGAGGCCAGGCCCCAGGGCGAGGCAGCAGAGAGGGGGATCGAGCCACGCCAGACGCCCGCACGCACGCACACAGTCCAGCCAGCCAGCCAGCCCAACCGGGCAGAGGGCAGGCAGCACAGCACGGCAACCCCTGGCCTGGCTTGCGTCTGGACGCAGCCATCACCCTCGCTCACCATCGCCAACACCATCACCATCATCCTCCCCTCTCTCGGAACACGACCGCACGACGACCACGTCTCGGAACCCTGATACGACCCATCGCACACGGACACTCGTCAACACCCTCCCCCCTTCACCGATAGAAAGCCGTACAGCCGAATCTTCCTCGCTCGCCCTTCATCATGGTGGGTCCCGGGGGTGCTTGCCTCTTGCTTCCTTGAGAGCCAAGTTGGAGGGACAGGCTGCTGACTTGTCCTCTTTCTTGTACTTGTCCTTCGGCTCGGGCTTCGACGACGCCCTCCTTTCCGACTCGCAGGACCGCATCAAGGAGGTGAGCGCTCGACATCCAGTCATGTCTGTTTGATCGGACCGCCTGTCGGTCGTGCTGCTGACCTCAATCTGCGCCGCCTCTCTGGCTTCCCCGCCTCTGCTGCCGCCTCTGCTGCACGGCGACGACAGAAACTCAACTCGCTGCGCCTCGAGGCCGACAGCGCGCTGGAGCGTGCCGAGGCCGCCGAGGCCAAGGCCAAGCGGCTGGAGCAGGACCTGCTGACCAAGGAGCAGGAGGTGGCCAGCCTGCAGCACAAGCTCAGCATCACCGAGCAGGACCTCGACAAGACAGAGGCCAAGCTCAACGAGCACAAGGCCAGCCGAGACGAGGAGGAGAGCAGCCGCACCAACGCCGACAGCATGCAGCGCAAGATTGCCCTGCTCGAGGAGGAGCTCGACAACGCCGAAAAGAACCTCCGCGAGACGACCGAGAAGTGAGTCTCGCCCGACCGCTCGTTGCGCGATCCGATTCCTGGCCCAGGCCAGGCGCATGCTGCGCCTCCCTGTTCCTAGAGAATGGCAACGCTGACTTCTCCCTTCCCCAACCCTTCATTGTCTCCTCCCCTTGCGACCCTGTCAGGCTCCGACAGGTCGACGTCAAGGCGGAGCACTTTGAGCGCCAGGTCCAGCGCATCGAGCAGGAGCGGGACGCGTGGGAGAAGAAGTACGAGGACGCCGAGGCAAAGTACCGAGCCTCGAAGGCGGAGCTCGAGGAGGTCGTCCTCCAGATGGAGAGCCTCTAGGTCGCAGACCGAGTGCCGGGCGAGAGAGGAGCAGAATCTGCCAAAGCCGGAGAGGGCCGCGATCGGTCGTCAGCGGCTGCAGCGGCAGCAGCAGAAGAAGACGAAGAAGAGGATGCGGAGGAGGGGGAGGGACGAACACGAGGGTCGGGACTATCGACAGAGTACGTGGCGGCGGCGGCGACGACGACGACAAAGGCAACGTCGACAGCAGCAGCAGCAGAGGCAGAGAAGGGTAACGAGGTCATCCAGCACGACAGCGCCGACGATGAGTGGCAGGACACGGACGGCGACGACGACGAGGACCTGTTTGAGGACTCGTTTGACTTCCTCGGCCACTCGGGTGCCGAGTCCGAGTCCGACGACGACGACGGCGACGGCAACGACAACATGCTCGATTCCAGGAGCGGCGACGGCGGCCAGAAAGCGGCCGGGGCGAGCAGGCCCACGCGCTACGTGGAGCTGCCGGCTTTGCTGACGATCCTTGTGGCGTACTGGTCGCAGGTCTGGATGGCCTTTTGGCGATCCAAGAGCGCGCCAATCCCGGTCCCCAGGCCGACGACGCCGCCGCCTCCGCCATCGCGCCAGAGGCACGCCTACCCTTGACCTCGTTTCGCCGGCTCGGCTGGCCTCATCTCGACTCGCCTGGTCTGCTGCCGCCCGCCCGCCCGCTGGCTGTCCTGTCCCGCCCCGACTCGTCTCCACCCGCCCTTTGCCCGATCCTCTCGTCCGCTTGGCTCGTTGCTGCGTCGCATCTGGCCGGCTCTCTCCGCTCCTTTTTGATTTGCCTGGAACTCGGTCGTCTCGACGCTGGCCTCGGACCGCAGGCAGGAGAAGGGACGAGCTGGCGGGGGTTGATTGGCCAGCCCGCTCCTCACCTCGCCCTTGCCATTGTCCTTTGCCCAGAAGCCCATTACCATCCCCCCTCCCTTTCCCCCCCCGTTCTCGATCAGCCAGCCGAATGTCATCCACACTTTGAGAGATCGCCGGCTGGCCCCGTCGTGCGTGCGTGTCTGCGCTGTGAAGCATGGACGTGCGTTTTAGGTTCGGGTCCAGAGCGGCGAGCAGGCCAGCCTTCTGGCCGGGTTGGTGGCACGTGACTGCCGTCTGGGTTTTTGGCTGGCCAGGCTGGCCCAGGCGAGTCGGGCATTTGGGGGTTGGGCCTGCCAGACGCGCCTCGCCTTGGGCCCCGCTGGACCTGGCAGGCCTGCGAGTCGGGGCGCGTGTGTTTTTGTGTTGGTTGGGGGTTGGGCGTGGGCTTGGCTGGCCGACGGGCAGGCTGGCTGGCTTGCCTGCCCGCGCTGCCCTGCTCGCCAGCTGACCACCCTTCTCCACCTCACCTTGCCTCGGTCCACTCCATCCATCCACCACCCCCTCGCCTCGGGTTGCTCTTCGCCACCTACTTCTCGACACGGCACAACTGCAACGTCACAACCGACACAGCCGCCGACACCGTACAACAGCCCTCCCGGATTGGCTTTTGTCCTAGAGCGAGACGCTCCCACCTCGACAATCGACCCCCGGTACACGCTGCAAGTCCCGCGACACGGCCGCACACGCTAGCCACCGCTCCGTAGCGACGGCTTTGCACCTATCCTCGACCTCGTTCGTGAAGCACAGCCTCTCTCCGCAACTGACTTGGCCGCATCCCCGGGGCAATGGAAAACGTAGGTAGACAATCCTGGCGGGTCCGTCTGCCCTCCGCCTTGTTGCGCCGACCAGCACCCTGACGCCTCACCCGTTCTCGCGCATGACCTCATCTTTCCCCCCTCATCGACCCACTCGCGCAAACCAGATCCCACCGGCCTTCACCCCTGCACGAAAGAAGACCGCCATGTCCAGCATCCCAGTGCCGCAGACGGCAAAGCGGCCTCGGACCGGCCCTTCTTCAATCTCGGCCCCGTCTGCCGCCGCCGGTCCTTCGCGCCTCCGCGAACCGGGCACCAGGGCGGCATCCGCCTCGCGCGTCGGGGGTCTAGCATCATCCATGGGGGCCAGC